GCAGCCCACAGTGCACACCTGGGGTCACCGCCGGGCTTCCTGCAGGCACCGCCGTACCTGGGTTACCCCGAGCCGGCCCTGGGTGGGAAAGGCTGTGCCGACCTCGCGCAGAGCTGAGCGGAGCGTCACGGTCTTTGGGAGCGTGAGGACTGACTACAGTGCTTGGTGCTCTGCTCTGATGGAGGCAGACCTGTGGGTGAGTTGCCATTGAGAAGTGCAAGGCCTCGGAACAGTCCTGAGTGCTTCCCCCAACCTGGATTACAGCTACAGATGTTTTGTGAAGTATTCCGATCTTAGCTGCCTTAATAACCAACTGCTCCGATGGTTTGATCTGATTTGTGCAGAACACATTGAGATACAACTAGAAAACCATTTTTGGGACAAGGTTACCCAGCTCAAGGCGCTGTAAGTGATGTTTTAACCATAAATGATATTAACTTACCTACTGTAGGGAACCTGCTTTGGCAGGGGGGTTGGACTCGATGATCTCTGGAGGTCCCTTCCAACCCCTACAATTCTGTGATTCTGTGATTCTGTAACTTTGCTAACAAGCAGTGGCCGCGCTCCAGGGCTCCAATAACCAGCATAGTTTTATCCAGCAGCAATAAGTAACAGAGAGGTAACAGTACTAAACTAGAGCTCTGCGGACCCTAACTCAGCTGCCTGCTCCCACAGGCAATGTGAGAAGGTATGTATTAAGATATTGAAGGCCCTGGTTTCTAAACATACAGAAAATGTACCTGAACTTACGTTGCATATTTATACTGGTTAACTTAACTAAAATAAATAAAATAGCACGATTTAGGCTAGCTGAAAACATACTGGTCCCGAGCAGCCAAATAATCCTATGCTAGAAGAACAGAACGTGTTTGCTAATATTTCCACATAACTCCTTGGCATGCAATCCCAGAGCTGGTGCTGCACTGAGGCGTTTTTTAGAGGGAAATATTTATTGGTGGCCTTTTGCTCAGTGCCATGCATACATTGGATGAACTGATCCCGAAGTTCTATTTGTAAAATTAGCCATGTATAAATGTAAAGCTTGTAATTTAAGATGTATTTACAGCATTGACAGCACTAATTATTTAGTAGTCACACCAACAGTTTATCAATAAACAGTGGTGGAAATCTGGTGTCAACTGTGTCTCTGCGCATACACTACTCCATGAACGCATCTTCACTTTGGCAGTGAAACTATTCTGCTTATTTTCCTGTCAAAAACACTATTTTGCATTTGTAAATGCTTTACATCTTTAGCTGTGCACCTGTTGTGCAGACTTGATATGATGTAAGATTCTCTCCAGCTAATAGACTAATTGATATCTTGTATATGCACCTCAAAATGTAATGTGGTTGAAAACGACACTGATTAGTTTTTAATCTGAAACACAGGAACATGTTTTGTTTGCCCCCTACATTCCTTCATCCAAGTAAATCAACAAACCAAATGGAAGAAGAAAAAAAAGGCATCTAAATCAAACACACGCAGCAAGCCAAGAGAAGAGCATGAGAAAAATGGGCAGTTATTGAAGGGCCTCCTTTATAGTTCATTTTGTGACAAATGCAGTCATATCACACAGAAGATTCTGCAGTGTCAGAGGCTGAATTTCCCTTTTCAGTAAGTCCCAAACTCCATGTGTGGGATCAGATTAGGGTGGTGCAGCTGGCCTGTACAACAGCCATCAGCATATCAGTGCTTATGAGATTCACAGCACCTCTGGTCTGAACTGTGGCAAATCTTTGTTTTTGAAGAGATACCAAGAGTTAATTGTTGTTTCTCAAGAACTGAATAGTAGGATTTTTCTTAGCAGAGATCTATCAATGTTTCTTTGCATTTATAAAGAAAAATAGTTCTGAAAATATCACCTTTAATAATGATTTTTGTTGCATAATCAACATTACAATCCATGAAATTTCTAAGGAAAAGACAACTCATGTTCCATAGAGCAACACTTTACGTAGTAGGATTTGATTTGACTGTTGGAACCAAGACATAACAGTGTATGTGCTCTACAGCATATAGCAACATATAGCAGAAATAAATACTGAACTGTATCAACTTCAGTGTGGTTTGCTAATATGTAATACATCTTCAGGTGGTAGAAATATTTATCTTGCAGTAAATTCTAGCAAAAGAGATCTCGCAGGCAGAAACATTAATGTGATCCATTTTGGCTAGAAAAGAACAATTTTATTTCCTTCAAACATTGAGTAGGCATCATAACCACTGACAAAGGTGACAGCAAGCTGAAATTTGGCATTTCCCTCAAAGATGTGCCATGCGTGAGTGACTGGGAGTTTGGCACAGTTATCACCTATTAGCATTTATCAGTGTACATGAAAGGACAGGCTCCAGAACAGCTGCAGCAGGCTCTGAAGTAACATCTACTCACGTATTAACACAGGGGCTGATTTTTGCTATGCTTGATGACAGTCTTTCAGATAGGGAGGTTTATTCAGCCTAGGTAGAGGCTGTAAGGTTTGACGTGTATGTGAAATTCAGCCTCATCGGGAAATGCTGCCTGAGCTTATTCGCTTCCTCCTCTGATTCTGAGCTTGGCCTCATAAAATGCTGGAAAAGTAATACACAGGAACAGCTTCATTGAATCAGGCCTCAAAGTGTATGGTGTGCTAAGCTCCTCAAGGAGTTTTGGGAACGATGACACCAGGTGTGGTGGGGATGGCATCGTGCAAACAGGCTGACCAAGAACGGTGAGTAACTGTTAAAGTAAGGATACTGATAGTGAGGCAGATAGTGCAAAAGAGAGGAAGAGATGTTGACAGAACACAAACCCAAGGGTTGAAGCAGTCATTGCCTATGCTGGTCATTTCCGGCACAATTGGATTTGGGCTCTGAGTTAGAGTGCTGAATTTTCTTCTGATCAAGAAGGACCCAATGGCAGAGATACTGCTGTGATTTACAGAAAGTATCCATTCTTTTAAAACCTGCAGACAGAACACAAATGGCATTTTGGTCGACAATTTTAATGACTAATGAAGCAGTTTGAAGGGCAAGATGTTGGCTTGAAGAAAATATTTAGGCAGTACTTGCTTACCATCACCACTTATTTTGAATGAATTAGACCAGCCCTTTGTTTTGTTTTCCTGTATGAAGGGTTTCTTCCACACACGTCTCCAAAACATATCAGACCTCCAGTGTGCAAAGGAAAGCACTACGTGTGCTCGCAGGAATTTCCGAAGGATTTTATTTGAAGTGAGGTATGCAGTATAGCAAATGGCTAGGTATGCTGATGGGCTAATGCTTCTGGAGTATAATAAAATGATGTATGACAATTTCAAAATTATTTTGCTGCTACTATTAGCATAAGGGTTGACAGTAGCATTAAAGAATTAGAGCCAGCCCTTGGTGCAGCTTTTCTGCATGCAGCCATGTGGGCTGTGCAGGCTGCTCTGAACAGAACTGCTTCTGAACGGTCTGCTGTTCTGCAACATCCAGGCAAAGTTCTTCATTTGCAATTATGCTGAGGCTGCAATTCCATGATATGCTGTCTTTACTAGCAGAGCTAGGAAGAAATGCCTCTCTTCTTTCTCTTCACCTGACTTACAACGGATTCAGGTCTGTAATACGTCAGCTGAGTGAAATGATTTTGCTTATGACTAACATTTCCCATAAAAGAAGAGAGTTAGGTCTTGAAAAGGAACCTGTATTGCTATAACCTGGATTGTAACCTGAGTAATTTCAATGCTGTTATGACTGTCAGCATAACAGAGGACATGGAATTGCTTTAAAGCAGCTTTACCATTTGGGAGGGCATCATGAAAAAGCATAGAAGGTGTATCCGCTATTGATCCTAACAGAATACAGAATCTACAAGACAAATCAATTGCTTAACATCAAAAAAGAATCAGTCACCTATCTTCACCCAAAACACAATCAGGTGTGGCTGTACTGATTTTTATTCAGTGGGTGGACACTGTTAGCATGAAGAAGCATCTGCCACTATTGAGGTCAAAGGATGCAGTACTTACCACTGTTATCTGAAAAATGAAGCAAGATTCCCTTATTCCTGCTTCGCCATTTCTGTTCTGCATACTTCTCTTTCCAAACAGGGCAGCACCACCAGAACTACCTTAGGGCTCGGCTGCAAATCATTACATTGCTGACTCGTATATTCTTTTTGTTTGTTCAAAACTCTTTCTGGACTTCACATGAGAGCCAAGTAAGACAGCTGAAAATAACTCCTTAAAAAAGAAACTAAGTTTTTATATTTTTTCAACTTCTTACAGTAACATAAGTGATCTCTGATGCTTGTGAAATGCCATTTCTGATATGTCCCATTTCAGAAGAATAAAAAAACGAGACTGATGGAGACAGTTTTTTTTTCTTTGAAAGTAATCCCTCACATTTGCAACCATTCATTTCAATAAAACATCTTCATTAATGGCAAAGTTTATTATTTTTTAACAATTAAAAGACAAAACATTTAAAATTTGCAGTTCAAAACATGCACATTCACCAAATGCTAAATGACATGTAACACTGCATAGAACCAAATGTGTTACTAAAAGAGAATAACTATAAAACACAGTGCATTTAACATCCAGTTAAAACGAAACCTGAGAAACTACCATAAACACCGATTCAAGAAGTCTTCGTTCATGCAGCTTCATAGTTTCCACAACAGTTTCAGCAGTAATGGCTCAGTGGGGCTGTAAAACCTCACTTTGCCTCGAATGCAGATTTTGCTTGTACACAGCGACCACTTTCTGCAGCAGTTCATACATATCAAACACTGAAAATCTTAATGGAAAATTAAGTTGAAGTATTAAAAAGCAATATCAGTGCATTTATGGCTTCAGTTCTACAGTGAAGAAACACAATAAAATATAACTTAAAAAAAACCCCAAAACTTATTCTGGTCACAGCTTTGCAATTACAAATTACTATTTAGGGAAATGCTTTCATTTAAGCAATCCTCCAAAAGTACCAACCCTCCTACGTGCCCAACTCTGCACGCCGTTACTCAGCTGAGCAGCCCTCATACTTACGAGCAGCCCAATTGAAGCTTATGTGAGTAACGGCTTGCATAAGCAGGAACCAGGTTTGGAATGCTAAAATATTCCTTTGTTTAATGAAGATCTATTGGTTAACAGCGAACAAACTGGGGGAGCGAGGGTGGGGGGCGAAGGAGCCACTCATTTGTTGAGTTTGCTACCAGTGAAAACATTCAGTACCAAGAAAATGGAAACGACAAACTCATTTGCTTACACAGCGCTAGCTTCTGGCTATACTATGAGGAGACTTTTAACGAAGGCAGTAAAAATGAGGGCAGAGCAACCACCATGCATTGCCTCAGAACACTGAAAAAATATCACTTCATGCAGACAAAATGACAAATTCATCAGAACTACAAGTGCTTTTACACAACACAGAAGAAAACAGGAAAATAACTTCTCTCCTTAAATTTAACACGTTCCAAATCACTACTCATTCAAGATGGGTTTAAATGTAACGAAAAGCCCTAAGACACTTTATACGCATCTCTGTGATACAGGGGATTTTATGAATGGATGTGGGCATATAGGAATTTTCATCTCTTATTGTTTCAAAATATTTTATCTTTTTTATACAAATAGAATGATGATCAAGTATAAATCTGTTGAAACTGCCTTGCAAAAATAAGTGTAAAATTAGGAACTGGCAAGAAAAGTTTCCAAATACAAGTTAGCAATAAGTTTGTTAAAATTGTTTCCAGTTACTCTTTTGAATCACTTATATATCTATGTATATATATTTAACAAACATCTGCACAATCCCCTTACATTAACAAAGACAGGATGAACAAATCAGACGATAACAGACCACTTTACTGTGTACTTAACAGGAAAATAAAGTGCATCTTGTATTCTTGATCTGATTTAAAAAGTGGGCACACATAGATAGGTTGATCTCATATTTTAGAATGCAGTTGTACACAAATGTAAAAAAAAAACAAAACATGGTTAGAATTGTCACATTTTTTTTTTACTGACTCTACGAAGCAGAATCTTCCTACCACTAATTTCAGACAATACATAAGATGCAGCACGTGGGAAAAGTATAGAGAAAAAAGAAAAACACTACAATAAAGTGAAAAACATACTTCGTGAAATTTGAATTCTGTAAAGATGTTAAATATGAAACAGTGACAAGACTCTTAAAAAACTTAAATTACAGTCTAATTTAGAGCTGTTTCAGTTACTTTTTAAATACAGATAAATGGGGGTTATGCTGTGTGTCATTTTCAACAAGCTTCTACACTGGGGCAACACTTTATTTTAAATATGAAGAATAACTATCACAATATATCACAACAAATTTATAGTGCTCATGTAATTTCTGCAAAACCCGTAAATAAACCACCCAGAGCAGAAAAATCATAAAAGTTAGAATGAAAGAATGGATGGATTGGGACATTTATAAAAGAAAAACAGTATCATGGTTAATTTCAGAAATGTTTTCAAGTTGGCCATTGTCCATTTGGTGACAGAAAAGAGGGATCCCTGTTTCAGGAAAGGGCCATGCCCCCAAATTTTTTCTTCCTGCCTCAGGTCAAGTGATTTGCCCCTCCCATATTGATCCATCTATTTATCTCTGCCTGAAATGGCTTTTCTGAAGGCAGTTCTTGTCTGCATGACTGACTGGCAGTACTGTTTCTAGTGGGATACGTCCCCTTTGTCCCTGTGTCTTGTTTTCTCTTCTGTTTAGAGATCACTCTGAGAAAATGGGAGGAAGACACTGCATAACATGCATATGAAATGCAGACTGCCTTCCACTGATACGCCTTCTGAAATATGTACTTTCGTATCGTTTTTGTTATTGGGGTTCTGTTTTGTATTTGTAAGCTTCTTTTAGAACGGAGCACAAGGAAACTGAACAGTGCAATGAAGTTACATGTTAAGTGTCAGGTGAAAGGCAGACAGATGAAATCACCTCTAGTAAGTGATATTATAAGATTTTCTAAAACTTACTGAGGACAGGAGAGAAGAGATGCAAATATATGGCCTGTTGCTTGTAAGTTGAAACTGGCCGAACTGGAGAGCAAGAGGAAATTCTTAATCTAGCAGATCATTAAGGATGTCATTGTTCTGCATTTCCTTTTAGCTGATCTCCATTCAAGGGAAAAAAGTATCAGTTCTGTACAATGCACTGAAATTTAATTAAAAACAAAAGTGCCTGTTTCTATGGAAAAATGTATTCTAGATGTAATTATGATGTCATTTAAAATCAGAAAAGCTACAAGATTTAACTAAACTCTGAAAGTTAAAAAAGCTTTTTATTGTTTGAATCCTGATGGCCACTGAGAGGCAGGCTGAGAAATGCCAACTACAACTACCTAAAAACACTATTATCACCATATTCTTACTATGAGACTTTTAATTTAGCTCCCCTTCCCTTCCATCTTTTTTAAAATTTTTTATTATCCTTTTTTTAAATAAAAACCATAAGTGTATCTTTCTCTGCAGTCACTTCCTCTCTGCTTTTAATTAAAGGTGCACGTATAGGTATTTTGCATGATCAGTGTTTTTGAAAGAGACTGCTGAAATGTTATTTCAGATCTTTATAGGAAGTAGCTTCAGCACAAATAAAACAGTACATGCCACACACTACTGCAGGGCATGCTTTGCTCTGTATTTCAATGTATGCATTATTTTAGTATAAAAAGATTGAAAATGTGACTAATTTTTAAAAATAAATTAACAAACTTGCCACTGAACCTACTGTATAAGCAGATACGACTATCAAATGAAATCGAAAAAAAATTAAGGTTTGATAGGGGAAGTAAGGCAGTGCAATTCTTTACAGTTTGAACAAAATGTGTACTCAATTTTACAAGGTGGCAGCCATTTTCAACATATGCACTACTAGATGAAAATAAGGGAAAAAATTCTATAAGGCCATGGGTGCAATACTTGCACTTTTGAAAGCAAATGCCATCAAGGCCACTCACATTAGATGCGCTGCACTGTAAATCCTTCTCTGCAAGTGCAAAGACTCAAGCATGCAGTTCTGAGATCAGGACTGGAGTTCATTTCCTTTCAAAGTATTTCTGACAACAGAAAAAATTTATGGAACTTCTTTGGCAAGCGTTTTTAGGCTAGTTTGACACAAACAACTATAAACATCTTTGACTCAAAATCTTTCTTAAAGAAGGTGAGTGAACACCATTAAGATACTATTTTTTCAGCACTTGTTGAAATCGAAGGCTTGTTATCAACTGTATTTAAATACATTGCCACTTAAAAATCTTCACAGGTGCTAATGGTCTGTCAATGTAAAGTATGTTTAGCAATCTGACCATTACCTTCCAAGTATATAACCAGTATTGATTCAATTTCATTGTAAAATAAGCAAGCTGGCAAGATATAAGGTAAATTCCAATCTGTTTACAAAGGCTAAGCGAATACCCGGTAAAAAAATTTAGAGATGTCGTGTTTACAGTATAGTTGCACAGTGCTTATGTCTACTGAATACACAAATCCAAACTGTATGGAATAAGACCATCACAGATCTTAAAATTGCTGATAATTGGGCTATGGTCGCAGCTCCCAGCAAAGATCTAGTAGTCTGTCTCACAAAAGCAATTTATAAGGCCTGAATATTGAAGTGTGTTCTTTCACCATTCCTCAGGCCTTTGTTTTGTGGTATCATAAGCTCGTATTACTTCAGATTGGGAAACAATTCCATTTTCATCTTGAGAGAAAGCGTAGCCGTCTGCAGATACAAAACAAAACAGGAACCAATTAAGTTTTTAATCACATTTTGCATATTCCTCAGTATTTTAAAGCTTTAACGAAAGCAACTTATTAAAGGCCAATGAAGGTGCAGAGTGTAGGGAGAAAACCTACACCATTCTTAGATAATTTTGCAGTCATATGGAAGCGAAGAGCTCTGTGTAAAATCTTAGGAATGAATAGTATCCTAACCACAGGCAATGTATATGGTGTACTGAGTTTACATTCAAACATGAATATGGTCACATACGTTGTCAGTTCTTACAAACACAGTATCTGATAATTACATTCTGTATGTCTTCCTTTTTTTAAGACAGACTGAATTAAAGCAGTGTAAAGATGCTTAAAGTTAAAAAAATTAAGATTTCCTTGTAATTCAAGAACACATATTAACTAATTCATTTATTAAAGATAATGATGAGATGTTAAAAATGAGTTTTATCCAGTCTGTAGTACAAAATAGAGGCACAAATTTTAAAGATGCATGCTAGATGTAAAAAAGGCAGCTGCAACAAGTATTAGGACACTGCATCTACATCTTTACTACATAAAAAAACAACAAATATTCTATAATGGATATTAGGGTGTTTTTTTTTTTTTTTTTTTGATACTTACGGAGCAAGTTTTGCTGCAGAGAATCAGAGCGATACAGGTTCACATGGTTCTTCTTAAAAACATTCTTCAGTAGTTGGGCTCTTTCAGTTAAGCTAGGAAGAAAGCAGAAAAAGTTTACTTCCTAGTTACTGTATCTCCTTCATCCTTTGAGTCTGTTAAAGAGGAATTAATTATTAAAAGAAAAATGTTCATTTTTTGTTTACTATTTGTGTCCGAATTAATCGTTAAACAGATGATTAAGAGCCTGTGCAAGGGCAGATTATGAAGTCTAGATCCTTGGTATTGTTTCTTATTTCTTGCAGTACATGCAAAACATCTGTCTTGAAGCACTGACAATACAAATAAACGAACAAAACTGTAAATATTTGAATGTGACTCCTTTAGAAACATGTGGTGTAAAGGGAAGGCACTGGCTTTCTAGAGGCAGCATGGGTTGGTTAGTGCCAGGCAACATTTCTTACAGAAAGAAGGGTTCAGTTTCTACTCAAACAGTATCCTAGAGGGGATATGATATGAAAGAAGATGGAGGGAGAGTTACACCAGTTACACGTTATTTTTGATAGCATATTGAAGATGCACAGACTATATTAAAAAAAATTGTAATAAAAACGCTAATTTCTTGCTCTAAATTTGATATTCACTGTGAATTAGATCTTACATTTTACATTTCCAGTGCTTGAAAATCCAGTCCCTCCCATTGTGAGCTGGTCTAAAAATGAATTATTTTGCTTAAATCTATTCCAAGTACATAGCAATACAGTTTTGTTAATTCGGCTAGATTATCAAAGTTTTCTCTCTGCTAGAATGTAGTAAACATGAAGGATTTACACAGACCTAAATCTAGTGAGCTCTGACTAGTCAAATTACTCCTTACCACTACTTGTCAACTAGCTGAGCAGACTACTTTCTTAGACTACCTACCAGACTAAATGGTAGGAATGCAACTATATTCCTTCCCTTATTGGAGTAGCATTCAAACCTGTAAATTAGAAATGCTTATTTTTTCTTCATTAAGCACTGAATTTTTTTTTGTATATGAAGCTGAACCACTGGCATAAACTGGAGAGACTAGAGGTCTGCCTCCCTCTTCTGTTTCCCTCCGATCTGGTGGTTAAAGCATATGCCAGGAGGGAAAAAAGAAATAAACCTACATCCCCACATCCACAGAGTAAAGCTAACCACAAAATCTACAGGGTAAGTGGATGGGTGGGCTAAACTGCTTCTGTGGCCATGCTTTGGATGGAATGAGTCTTCTTTATAAAAAAGGAATTAGGTACCAGCTACAGGAAAGCAGTCAGCATTTGCTGGCTGAACATAAATCACAAGAAAGTACCTGAGATACACCTTTCCTTTCATGTTTTCTTGAGATAGCTCTTTTGGGAAAAAAAAAAAAAAAAAAAAAACACAAAAAAAGTTTCCTCATCACTGCTCCACCAGGCAGAGTAGGTGCCTTGATTTTCAGTTCAGAGCTACAAAATACTGATAAAGTAATGGAATTCTGAAAAATTGGAGACTAAGGATTAAATCACAAAGTGATACACAGGGTGAATAAATGAAGACTTTCACATGCAACGGGAAAGCAGAGAGATGAAAGACCGTACAAATATTCTAATAGGGGCATAACCTGCATCTCCTTTGCAGTACATCTGAGAAACCTTTCTTAATATTAGCTGAAGACAGAAAATTTCAGTGATTTTTTTGATAGGTGTTATTTTCTAATACAAAACTATTTCATTAAAAGAACAGTAGGCCTATTCTAGTATTTTAGTACTGTCATTATCACTTGCTCATGTTCCAGAATGAAACATTCAAACTGCCTAAGTGCTAAGCACTGAAAATACTGCCTTAAGTTTTACATGAGGTACACACATCTGTTAGTTTACGTATAATGAAGTTTCCACTGCATAGATCTGATTGCTGGTATAGAAAATACAAATAAAGTAGGAAGTAATTTTGGAGAACAAAAGTGCTTCCAGCTATTCAGATATTAAATTCCGCTCTATTTTATACTTGATGAAAGAGCACAGGCTCTTTTTTATGAATCATCCTGCTGCCATCCAAACACATATATTTAAAAATCTACATCAATCAGTAAAACATAGTTTCATAATTAACCAGTCATAGCAAGTAAGTGACTATGCTTATCATGTACACCTGTATGGAAAAGTAAATATTAACTGCATTTGAACTTGCTATATACATATATGTGAAAACTGTGAGTACTTTATATATTCCTAACCAATCATGTCTGGTTTAAAAATAAAAACTTTACAAGGTGCTTGAATGGAAAACAACTATTATATGAAGTAGCATTTGTGGCAAATATCTCTAAAGACATTTGCAAAAGTAAGGGCTGTTATTTATGCTACTGTTAGCCTACGTAATAGAAATATTTTTATGGTAAGTAATATTATTGCTGTTTCTGGTTACTTGGCATTTTATGAGAAAAAAAATCTCTTTTTCTACTGTAACATAGAAAGGTACTTCCAGAGTTTTTTTGCACACTAGGAAAGAATATTAGTTGGTGCTAAAGAATATATACTAAGTTTGTAAAAAATAACTTGATGCTCTCCTACAAAAAGTACTATAAATCTAGAATATAGGAGTCAGGCATGCATATTTAGAACAGATGCTGAGGACATTCCTTGCCAATTTAACTATGTACTCTGCACTGGTATCCAGGCTTCTGCGATTTAGAGACTCAAAAACCATCACAACTGTTCAGCCAAGCTTCTGAAGATCACAGAATCACACAAGATTGAAGAAGACCATTCAGATAATCTAGTCCAATCATTTATCCATCCCCATCATGCCCATGGTCAGGATCACTGCACAGGTAGCCTTGGAAAAAGGCTGTGATCCACTCTGGTGCCACAGCTCAGGTGCTGTGTCCCTAGTGTGTGCAGGCAGAAGGAGATGGAGCCCCATGTCCTGGGACACCACTGGGATGCTTTGGGATTAATGGGATGTGGTGAGAGATGCAAGTAGGTCCCTTCATCAAAGCATTTCCTTAACAAAGAATACTTTATCCACAGAGGGTGAAGTTTTGTCTCTGTTACCTGAATTAAGAACACCCCCCAAAAAAATCACCGAGGAAATAAATCCTTAAAAAACACTAAGATGTCTAATATCCATGGATTTGTATGTGAGGCAGATGCTTTTCTACACTTCAAAGAATATAGGCCCAAAAATAACTATGTGGAGAATAAAGAAAGATATTCTAGCCAGGTAACTGAACAATCTCAGTGAAGCCTTCCTATTTATTTAATTGTGACATAAAGAGATGTCTGTAAAACCACTGGTGAAAACACCAAGTTCCTCTGATCTAAATAAGAATGGATGTGGGAAAAATTCTGGAGGTTGAAGGAAGAGCATACTGAAAGAGCTGAATTTCGGAATATGTGAGCAACCTTGGTTATGAAAGTGCAAAACTCTTACCAGATACATCACCTTACTTTCTTCTGCAGCTACAAGATGTACCTCTTTCAGCACTTCCTGGTACTAACACCTGCGTTCCTTTCTGTAATTTATTCTTCTACTACTCCTTGAGAAATAGCATTCAGCAAATACTGCTCCTGGCTCACAGGTAAACACACTGATATACAAGTTAACTTGGAGGAAGATCCTGCCCTGGTGCTAAGAAAGATATGCAGATAGAGAGAGGCATCCAAAGCAATCAGCTTAGATATTCAACACATTAGAAATGTTGGTCATCATCTTAGTATCCAATACCATTTAGTCTCAACTGGGTAAATTCTTGTAAGTTGATTCCCACAGGATTGGAGGAAGGATACTATAACATTAAAACAGACATGAAAACTAATTATCTTTATGAACAGAAGGTGCTTCCTGAAATTGGAACTATGATAAAAGAAATGTCTCCTTGCATTTTCATGGTCTCCTTACATGCATGCCTTTCTTCCTATAAAGCTTCTTAGTTTAGCCCTTTACCATGAAGATATCAGAGAAAACAGCAGTCCAAAGTTGAAAAAGAAGAGGAAAAATCAAATATCAACAGCTTCAGCTTTTGTAAAACTTCACAGAGGTCATGAAAATGAAGACAAGGAAAGAAAGTCCCAGTTCAGCCAAATGGCACTAATGAAATAGAATTGGGTAGTGGGAGGAGCATACTTTGCCATCTCTCAGTCCTTTTCAAGGTTACAAGTTATTCATGAGTTAAAAAGATGCAAGTATTTCACTAAGCACTAAGTTTACATATGAAAATTGTTCAGTTTCTCAATTTTACCTCCTCCCTTTTCAAATTACCTGCCTGACACATAATGGAGGATGTAATAAGAGAATTGTGGAGTGTCAAGTTCAAGTTATTTCTTACCTCACAAAATCTGGTCAAATTTGTTTGCTCTTGACTAGCATTAGATACAGTCCCAGTTTGCTCTATTTAATTTCAACAGGTCCCTGACAGATTTTGCTGTTTTTTCCTATGTTATCAAGGATGCTTTTATTTATTTTTTACATGCTTAAGCCCAATTTGTAACCGTACTACTGAACAATGCAGATTTAAACTGCCTTTGCTTTGACTGTTAACAGAAAGTGACAGGATTAAAGTTTCATCATCATCAGGCTGAGTAGACTCCAAATCTTTCTACAGACACCTACATGAAATGTTTTTCACTCTATTTAGTTTCATGGTTTTGGAAAGTAATATTTTGCCTTTGATACATGTATGAAGCTGAAGCATCATTATTATTACTAATTTTATTATCATATAGAAGACATTGATACATAGATTTTTTACAGTACCTCTTGCCATGTACAACTGCCCCAGGATCCTCAGACTTTGCTTCTAATTCCTGAACTTCATCTACCAGTGTCTTAAAAGTAGCTCTTTTTACTCTGAAAGTAATACAAAATACTGTCAGATTTATGATTTTTGAAAGCAAAAGATCAGGTTATTTTAACACTTACATATGCACATTCAATATACAAATCCATTTTACCTGGTAACTTAAAATTTAGTCTTAAATGAATAAATATGGTAAAGCAAGTCTGAATAATATATTTCATCATCTGTTCTTGCAAAATAGAAACAAAAAACAGGCATTAAATTATTGAAGCATTTAAAATACTAATAAAATTTATAACCAGGGGTCTGAGACTGAACAAGACACCAGGTTTGTCAAAAACAAGCTGAAAAATAATTTCATAAAATTAGAGCTGATCTCTATTTGCTCTTCCTACTGTTGTAATTAGAACATGCTATTGATGTAATTAAGAACATGCATGAAATTCAGTACTTTTCCCATGAACATCAGTGTTTTTGTACTCACACTTTGTATACTACATCAAAAAGCAAAGCTGTCATGGGAATACATAAAAGTCCCATCCAAAACACTCCAGAGCTGAACATCATAGCTGCCTGGAAGAAGAAAGCACAACATATAATTATGTTACGAAGAGAACTAGAAAAAAAAACAACCCAAAAAACAATGTAGAAACATCAATGACTTGGTTGAGACAATGAAAATCAAGTTTAAATGAACTGTTCTAGAATGTTTAATGTAAGCACTAATTCACGTTAAGATGCTGGTAAAAAGATCATGCTGCTTAGCTCTTTTAGAGAAGGGGAATCTACCCCTCCACATCCCTGCTCTATATTACTACACTGACTAATTTCCATTAAAATCAGATTTAGTGACCCCCCTCAAGCCCATCTCCCAAACTTTGTCAACACATCTCTCATTTGCAATCAACCCTAGCAGCTGCAATGATTACTGACACTTGCTATGGATACTGGATGCTGCTACATTTTGCACTGTAACTCAGACTGAAGTTGAGCTGTCTCCAATAGAACTTCCTCTACCACTACTCCCACACTGCTACAGACTCCTGTGCACAAACTGTTAAAAGATGAGAACTAACAACTAATTACATAATTATGTAAGTATGTAACATAGCCTTAAATGAACATGCTAATACATAGTGGAATACTTGCAAAATATGTTAATGCTCTCTGCTGCGTTTCCATTCTTATCCACCTTCCTCTATTAATACACAGGATTTTCTTTTTGTAACTTATTAGCAGACTAAAATTAAATTCAAAACAAGTACCAAAACATAGGGACTTCACAAGAAAATCTTTATTCTACTCTTGCAAGTACATGATCAAGTATTTAGATTAACAATATTATGAATGCAGAGAATTAAAAAAGCATAATACTGGAAGATTATTTTGCAGTCAGTATTAAGATACCTCTGAAATGAAATTAGATTATTTCATAAATTACAAAGAGATTGGAAATAACATTGCTACACAAGGATACTCTTTGAAATCCTTGTATCGCTATTTGGAGACTAATTCCTCTGAAAAGCTAAACTTTAGTGCCTAACATAAAAAAGTTAAAACTCTACTAGTATCAATAAGCAGAACAATGGAAGTAGATTGCAGTAGCTGACGCCCAACTTCCGAATGCATATCTCTGAATATTTTAGAGTTATACTTGGTATGTTATGTGTAAAGCCTAAAACGAATTATTTTTCAGAAAAAAAATCTCATTTTCATACAGGCAAAAACTCCTATTCACCACATTTTTGTATCCAAATTCCGACCAATTCTCTTAAAAGCATAAGCCTATATTTGAACTGAAAGCCTGGTAAACTTTTGACAGCTACGTTGAAAGGGCATAGATACTGCCCTGAGATTTTAGTAATAATTTTTGCCAGTGGTTGTTGGCAAACATGTAAGTACTGAGCAATGACAGGTTCAAAAAACCCAAACCAATTCACAGCTTCAATGGGAAGAAAAAAAAAAACCAACACTGATTTTCTTTTCTATCAGAATGTGAAGAAAAATGTATTTGTGCAGTCCATTTATAAGCAAAACATGACTTTTAACATAGGTGATTAAATACTAATTTCCTAAGAAAACAGCCAGTAGGAAATGTCTATCATAACTACATTTTACAAGATCTTTAATAATTAAATATAAATTAGACAGAATAATGGTTTCCTAAACAAAAACAAAAAGCAGAAAAACTTGAAGTAATTACAACTGTTACTTCCTATTTATTAATAATATTTTTTAATTTATAGGACACAACTAAGAGCTACCCTTGCATTAGCCGCCCTGTATTAAATGTTTGCCGGTGAAACAGCAAAAGTGATAATGTAGGTCTTAGGATGTTAATTCTGACCATTGTAATGCTAACTATGAATGAAGGAACAACTGGCGCCTACTATTCAGTCCATCCAGCCTTTGGCTTTACAAATGAACAACATGAATTGAGGCAAAAAAAAAAAGTTTTTCTGCGTCATATTTGAAAGCCTGTCAGATTTTTTTTTCTTTTACAGAGTTAATCCAAACCTAAAAGATTTAAAGCCGACATTCGTGTTAAAGACAGAGGGCCTCTTTGTATTTTTTGGATGAAGAAGGGAAAAATAAAATCCCACAGAGGTATTTCCTTCCTTTCTGTACAAGAAAGCTCCCCCCTCACTCTGTAGAAAACATTTTTGTCTCTAACTTTTCACATCTCTCTACACATAGGCAGGTCATCTGGGAAATGGCAAACCAATCCTTTCCAGACAATGGCACTAACAGGAGCAGCCTGTTCTGGGGCCGGACTCTGGCTGCCTCTGTTCGTGGTTTACAAATTGTTCCTAATGTGAGAGATTTGTGGTCTATGCCAAGTTTTCCCCCTTTAGGCCTTGTGAAACCAAATGGAATCTGCCACAAAAGTGGCTCCCAGGGGAATTCAGAAGTAATCCAAAATGAGAGCTGGAAAGCCTAGTTTATTGTAGAACTAACAAATCCTGCAGGGAAGATAAATAATTTGTTGTCTGCACAGCTCACGCTCAATATGAGGACTTTCTAAAATGAATTAACATTGCTTACTAAGTGCTACACACAGACATATTTTTAAAGAAAAAGATGGACTGAAAATCATTCCTGGATTAGAAATCCTGGAGGCAAAGTGTTTGAAAGGATGTGGAATATTAGGAAATTACGTGCCAAAATGAACAAAAATATTTCCTTTTTCTTCACTATGAAATGTTCTTCTGAAACAGCTATTAAAGATTTTAAAAAACAATAGCCTTCTAAAAGTAAAAAGAGAAAGACGAAGATTATTGCTTTAGTTTACTTCATCTGCCATCTATGTACATATCCTCTCCCCGTAAACCACCGAATTATTAAAGTAACATCTTTTCAACACCAACAACAGTTGGTTAAAGCAGTTCAAATCAACAACAGTTTTTCTTCTCAGTTACCTTCAGAGACAACTTCATTAGTTTTAGTTACGTATTTCTCTTCATACATGTCTAAGTACTTAGCGTTGTAACACTAAAACAGATCTGCAATTAATTCCCAGTGCAGCAGTCTCCACAAGGAGCTGTAGTCATGCCTGCAGTGCTTCTTTGCTCTTTGCAGTTAAAAAAGAAATAAAAATCCCATAGGTCCTATGAAGTAGGAACTTTGTTTATTAGGTGAATTAAAAAGGCAGTCCCCCCACTTTTTGAAAATCCATTCAAAGTAAAAACAGGAAGTAGTAATTAAGAAGCAGATAAAGGGATATTTGCAGACAGAATTCAGAAGTTCTTACTTGAACGAATCCCCTGTGAGACAAGAAAAGTGGCTACGAGACCCGCTGTCACTTTTTCCCCCAGTTTCTCTGATTTTTCAGCTAAGAATACTACTAGGTCATTGCAGGGCCATGAATTTTCCTCACAGCAGATAGGTACCAAAGAGAAAAGGTATCCCTCAGGGGGATGAAATATGGCTCCAGTAACATCAACACAAATAATAAATAACATTTTAAGTAATAAATACACACAGCTCACTATAAATCCTAAAGCTCCAAGAAGCATTACTGTGATGACAGAATATAAACCTTAATGAAGTCAATAGAGCAATACAGGTTTGTAATCATCAGATTAGCATTTATCTCTGACCACAGTAAGACACTTGAGTTCAGAAAAGGATGAAACGCAAGGATGAACCTTACTACATATTCGCAAGACTGGCTTTGGAGTGTTTGTTCATCCTTCCTTTCTGAACTACATTTATAGATACTCAACTCTCTCCTTGCATTTTATGAAAATCCAGATTATTTCAAAAGTTATGGGGAAAAAAAAACAAAAAACAAAAAACAAAAACAAAAAAACATCAACAACAAGCAGCCACCAAAGAAGTCCACAGTGGTAAAACAAAATAAATATAGGAACAGCAAGAACTGACTAAAAAATATCTAGTACTAGAGACCAAGTACAACTAAATTGTATGGTATTAACACTCAAAACAGAGACCAACCAAAGGGAATTAAATGGAGACATTACTGATGAATTGGAAAAGAAAAATCACTTATGAAAATTCCTTGCTTTTGGATTCTAACAGTGAGAAATTAAAAGCAAACCTCTTGTTTAAAGAACTTAATAAGATTAAATGTGTAAAGTATTAGGACTGTGAGATAATATTAAAAAGGAAATATGAGAATAATTTTGATTCACTTAAAAGAAATCCTCAATAAATTGTCAAACTCTTTTATGAAGCAATATTGTTCTCCACAAAAATATACATGCAAAACAAATTTTATTTCCTCCCTATACCTATATAGGTATAGGGAGGTATATAGGTATAGGACAGACACAGATCAATGATCACTGTTTCGGGGTTCTGGAGAACTTTACAGTGCACATTTAGAGTACAAAAATAAATTAAACAGTTCTGCAGATACTGAACTTTTGCTTTTAATCTTAATACCATATTTCTTATTTCCAGTAAATTTTGTAATTTTTAGCTACTTCATTAATCAGGTGCATAAAAAAACAACACCCCCCTAGACACTCAAAGCATAAAATAGTATCAAGAGAGTCAGGATTTGTATGAGTGCAAAATAGACATTAAGTTGTTCATGCTTCCCTCCCAGTTATATCCCTTCAACTTGAACCACACTCATACTTGTTTCAGAAAAATAATTTATACTAGCATAGAAATTCAGCATTTTTATCGATTTAATGGAAAGGTTCTATGAGCATTAGATTCTACTGACAGCCATTCGAATAGTTACTCTGATTAGACGATGTAAGTTACAGAAACTTCATTAGTTAACAATAGTTACCGCAAGAAGATTACATGGACAAAAAGGCAGAACTAATTGCAGCATCATTTCTTTCATTCAGGTGCTATATTGCACAGTATGGCAAAACAGGAGAACAAAATTTCTCCTGCTAATCTGTTCGATGACAGATTGGAGATGTGTTTTGTTCAGCATCACACAACAGTTTTCTGCATATGGAAGAGTTTGTACAAAGTAAATATTGAATAAGAAGAGATTTGTAATTTACTTTTAGTTACTTATGCAAACTACATGTGGCTTTAAAAAGAGAAAATACTGTAGGTGTGCTTGAAAACATATTAAGAGTATACTCCACTTATTCTCTTTGTGAATGTTGTATGTAAAAGAAAAGTCAGTGTAGAAGAGATTCACACAGTTGGCCTTCTCAGATCTACAATGAAAATGTTCTTTTTGTAGTCTGCAGTGGCATCTTTTTCCAAATGAAATGGCTTTCTAGTTTCTGACCAAAGTCACAGCACTGTGAAATTAAAGAATGAATTTGGACACAGGTTGCTGTCAGCAGTTTTGGCCACTGAGTTAGTACTGGAAAAAATAAGCAGTTCCCAAATCTAACCCCCTAACATTTGTACAAAACCTGTTTATAAAAAAAACAAAAAACAAAAGAGCAACAACAACAACAAAAATTCAGACAGTCCCTTCTGCACATTTTGTCTGACCAGGCTAAGGCAAAACAGACAAAAAGCTACTGAAACACAGGTCAGCTTGTTTCTTTAAGTTCTGACAAACATACCTGGATAGTGCAAATCTTCAAGTGTGACTTATACATTTGAAGGAATCAGACAAGCAGCATTTGCATAGAAAAGTAGAGATGTCCATATGCATTTCTTTCTACCATACCACTGTATGTTTCACAGCTGTGAATCTTTTAGTTTGAATACTTAGGAGAAGCCTGGACTTATTTCAGCAAAACCCAGCAAATCTGCCCTGGAGGCTTCCAGGATAGCATACAAAAACCCCAGCTCGCACCTGAGGCACTGTATTTATCAACAGGACTGTCTTTGTCCATAAAGAATGTACCTCAAAAAGCTAGATGAGCTTTTAAAATGAGCACTTAAGGTCTACAAGAAGTTTAAGAGAGATCATTCCAATGTTAGAGGCCTCTGGCTCTATTCTTAGGAAAAAAAAAAAACAGAAGAAAAAAGCAACTCCTCCAACAACTGTGTGCATCTAGTGCTACTATATATATACATAAGCAAACCACAAATTCCTAATGACAAAATAACTAGATACATTTCAATTACAGATACATTTTTCCCAAATTCATTTATTTAACTTAGTAAGTCGTATTACTTTGGTGTCACGTGAAATCCAAATTGCAAGAGGATTTACTTTTAATTGGCAAAAAACCTCACTTTGCAAGCAAATATTTTGCAAAGTTTGTAGGAAAAGCATTCCTTTCAGTGACATCTTTTGTTTACAACTTCAGACTGAACATACATTCAATATTCAGCTATTTCCACTGTGAAGTAGCCAACTCTATGCCTTACCAAGTGCAACACATCCTGCTGCCCATATTGTTCTTACTGCTATAGCCATTCTTCTGTCTTGAACAACAAGACAGTGTAAAAACACACAAAAAAACAAGCAAATGAAAACCACACATGATCAATTTCAGAAACATTCTGAAATTTCTTCTAAAAATATAGTGAATATGAAGGAAAACGCTTAGGTACAATAGCTTTAATCAATTTAGAATAATGTACTTTTTAATTTTTATTTTATGAGTAATGGAAGCAACAAGTTAACATAAAATCTACCTACATATAGGAAAGTTAGAGGTTATAGTAGAGAGGAAAAGCAGCAGGAAATTATATAAATTTCATCCTCTTTCTTTGGTGCCCAAGTACTTAAGTCAACTCCTTGTGTTTTCCATTGTAATTTAGTACTTACATAAATGGCTACATACTTGACAATATATATATATTCTCATATATATATACATATATGAGAAAACATACTATTGTTTTCTCATAACAGCTTATGTGAGAGGTGAGATTTGTGGGTCTGATTTAACTCCAAGCAAAGGAGGGATATTCACTACATTTCCCCAACTGTGCAGGTGTTTTTAAATTGTTGAATTACATGACAGAAGCAAAGTTAAAAGTACCTACTCTCCTATTTGTGTGTGGCTTGGTCTCGTTGATGTGATTTGAGAACAATCAGAGGAGCATCTTTTTGAAACAAACAGGTATTCTCACCTGCTTATTCCCAACAGCCATGCCCAGAAACAGATATTAGTGTCTGTAGAATAAATACTAAGCTTCAGATGTTTTTAGAAATGAATAGTTTTGAGAATTTGGGACTGAAGTTCCATTAAATAAGGACAAGCAGCAATTGTGTATCTTTTGTAGATTTAGTACTATTTGCAATACTTACAGTAGGTTAACACAAATAGGATAATAATAAAAGAGAAACCAAAATTTACACTGAAAGATTAAAGAAATGGTACAATAAAACATTCCAAGCACAACACTAATTGAAAAGTAAATGTGTGATGGTGATCAGCTGCTCACGCAACGTTGTGGCAACTCAAATTTCTGACCTATACTGGAGTTTTGAAGACAGCTTTAATCAATGTGCTACGTGTGCTATTTAGGTATAAAAAAATCTCCAGCCAAGTCAGTGCTGTAATTTTGAGTGCTGAATTTGGTTAAGACATCTCTTTAGAAAATGTCTTAATCAAATTCAGCACTCTGTGATGTGGTGCAGCTTATTTGTCAGCTCTTCCTTGGTAGACCATAGAATCACAGCACGTTAGCTGAGCTTCTTTTTTCAGAAGAGTAAAATTTCATCCTGTTATCAATAAACATGACTTCCACATTGAAGATATAATAAGAAGCAAACATCTTATGTACCTCTAGCTAAGAGAAGGATCCAATACAGATTAGGTCTGAACTAAAACCTGAAGTATTCTTTGTGCACACGTGGAGATCAGTTAAAATATACTTTACCTCTCCTGACATATCGGGTGCCATAGGAATGACTGGCCACAAAGAAGAGTAGATTCCAAAAAACACTATCCAGAGTGCTATGCTGCCCCAGATAGCTATATGGCTGAACTGTTAAAACAAAGAAAAACAAAACAATCATCGTAGATGTATTATGACATAAAAAAAGACCTTTGCGACTTGCTGTTTATGATGCATTTCTGATAAACATTCCAATGCCTGGTATTAACTGCTATAGTTTCTTAAAGCAAGCTTATATTTTCAGCAGCAATGTCATTTACATTTTAAACCAATTTAAGCTTAATTGCAAACAATTCAGTCATTTGATTCTTCTAGGATGATTTTAAGCCTTACTCCAAATTCCTCCTTTTTACTATTCACCATTTTTTTAATGTATGTATTTTCTGTCTTATGAGTTACCACAATTTAATTTGATATTATAGCAAAAGCCAAACATAATAAGAAAAACAAAATATTCATCTACCATACTTTATAGTGCACTTGAGAATGTGATAAAGACATTTGCTTACCAAAGTCCAATACGAGGTCTCTAATCCAGCCTTCAAACATACAGTTAGAACCACAAACTTTAAAAAGAGAGAAAGAGAGAGAGGGGGATTCTTATTTAAGATAAAAATCTTACTGAACACATTCACAGTTAATTATTTGATTGATCTTTCAGGAGACCATAGAATAAGAGGTTAAACTATTTCTGTAATTTACATTACGTTTACTTGCACAAATAAGAGAAACGATAATCAATCTCTTCAATTTAAATGAGATTTCTTTAATAACATTCAACAAAGTACCGTCTGTGTGTCAATGCACACCCAGGTCAATGCAACAGGTTCCAATGTACCAATGCAATAGAACTTAGTAAAACAAAATGCAGTCATTTCTATAGAGCTACAGGGAATGGCCCGTCTGATTTAAAATAATGCGTTCCAAAAATGTGGAATTCTCGGCAACTCTGAAATAATACTATTTTAGACTGTGCTAGCTGCATTTTACCTGTTTCTCTGTAAGTATGCGAGTTTAGATCTGAAGTTTAAGTTTCCATTTGAAATGACCAAGTAAAACGAGACTACAAGCTTTAGAAGTAAATGCAATTAATGAGCAAGTAATAAAGTATTAAGGATTATTAGTTTGAAGTAATAATCTTAATTTGTTCTGTCTGGAATACTCTTGTTTTACATTAGGAATCTTAACCATTTCCCTTGCCTCCTAGAATACTGGAAGCTTGCCTGTAACCAAGTTGCTAGTTTCTCTTTCTACGTCATTTTGGTTAACAGAGAGGTGTGTGAAAAGTATTCCAACTGTAGTTCACTGCAGTCAGTAAAAGATCATTCATGGTCTTTAGTCATCCTCTTTAGAGAGGATGACTTCTGCTTTCTACATAAAGAGAGATTCTGAAGATACAGATGCTTGGCTGAAAACCTGCAATTGTTTAAGTTTACATTAGTCTAAATTTAAGAAGTTGCTTCAATTCAGCTATATTTTGTTCAAGAGTCACCTTCACCAAACTCAGAAAAGCCAGAGCCAATACTGACACAGAACCTATGTTCTGTGTACAAAACACATACAATCTGTTCTATGTTATTTTCCTTCTTCTCAGTTTTTATCTTTTCTTATTTTGACTCTTTTTTATGGAGCAATCCCTGAACACATCATGTTATTCTCAAATATGATATGTTCTATTTTAATTTAGAGATGAGTAGTAATTGAAAATCTACAATCCAACAGAAATGAGTAGTCAATAAAACTGTTTATCTCTTTCCTTTGAAATTTACAAAAACGAGTTTTATATTCACTAAAGAAATGCTGAATATAAATTTAGTACATGCGCAAACAGGCATTACAAGTTTTGCTTTATCTACACTTCAAAATACATGAGGCCAAAAGCTGAGCCACAAAGACCAAACTCTAACAGCTACACTTTAGTTTCAAACTTATATGATTAAAACTGGTTTATCGGCCATGTTGGCAGCAATCATTTAAGTGGTGACTTCATCAGTAGCTGAACTTCAACGAGGCTCAAAAACTCAGAAGTAATTTCGTTTTATCAGAAGCTGAAAATCACTAGTTAAATATATTTGACAAGTCTTGCACTGTGTGTGGAGCACAGAAGGATACAAAATCTCACTAGAAAGCTTTCACCCTACCTACAAGTTTATTCTTTTAATCTGGAGTCTGAAGTACCTTGTTTCAACTACTGCAGTAATAAGGATTAAAAAAAAGCAAAACAAAACAAAAACAAAACCCAAACCACTGCCACAATTTCATTATTTAAAAATGGTGTGAAATCTCATTAGAAGAAAATTAAGGACCATGATGAGTGTTATAATTTACTTAATCTATCCAGTCATGGTGCTATATTTGGATGCATGATAAAATGAATTATAGAGAAAAATACTTCTCACTGTTACGTGTGCTTGTTATTTTTGAATCTGACATGAGAGAAGAAATTATCCTTTAGGATCAGTTTAAGAAGTCGTGTTGCATAGACCATGCGCACAAAACAAAAACAGTGAAGGCTGCTGTCAAAGGAGATATTGACTGTGTGAATAAATTCCCTCTTCACATTACACTGTTCCACACCCCCAAACTGAAAGCCTCTCATATCTTCAAGAGTACTCAAGAACTCCTTGAATTCCTGTACAAGGATAGAAATACAGCAATTGCAACACTCAGCCCTCCCAAGATTTTCAATGTGAAGGGAAGGGAAGCAAAAGGAAGAGCAGGTTGTCTGGACTTAAAATGGTGAAGTAATAGTTTATTTGGAATTCTTGACTATTTTGTAAGGTAGTAACAATCAAGACTCGCAAGACAGTGAGGCTTCAGCTCTCTAAGTAGAAAACCAGTTGCAGAAAGTGACAGAAGAATTGCACTGTCTAATGTGGCCTCTAAACATTTATGGATGCAGTCTGACAAACAGTAGCAACCAGCTCCACATTACAATACTGAAAGTATGAGAAACAAAATAATTTCCCAAGGCAGTGGAAAATTCTACTGCAGATTTATAAAAGCAGGCTTTGATGTTTGTGAGCCACCTGATATAACAGATGACACTCAGATGTGCAAAGATTTCAAGACTGCCATCAGTTGATGGATGACAGTCCAAATAATGTAAGTAAACCCTAATCCACTAGCCTCTCAGTATAGCATATGTAACTTGTTTTCTTCTGGTGTCAAGCTTGGCTTTCAAAAGGAGATACAGAGCAGAACCTCTACTAGGATGAAGTTCTGAGACCATTTCAGGACAGAACTTCAGCTGTGATTACAGCAGTATGTTGAATAATTGGGTTTAACAATGTCTACAGTGCTAACCTGCTCAGTTGAATGATGGCCACTGTAAAGGATGCTTTAAGATACCCACCTAATAGTATGATGGCCATTATTAAGGATGCTTTAAGAGCAGAAGTGGATGCTGGCTGTCAGAAAACCTGACTCAGATCCTGGGATAAGCGAAGTTACACGAGTCATGTATACATTTTATAAAATTCACAGCAACAGCTGAACTGAGCCAGGTTGCAACTTATAAGTAAACAGTAGAGTCTGAACCTGATGCAGAGAACCTCCTTCCCTCAGAAGAATCTGTTTCACCTCAAATGTCAGGTGGTTCTGGTAGACACATTTAACTTCGAAGAGAAGAGTGAGCAGGTCTAATTCTGCTTCTAACAGTTCTTAGAAGAACTCTTCTACGGGGGAAAACCCGTACCTGGTCGATATTCTCAGTAAGTGAGAAACAGGTATTTAGCTTTGTTTTATGAGATATAAAGATTAAAAGAAAAAGCATGAATAATCAGTAAGTACAAGAGTAACATAAGATTACCGTTAGGTGTGGTCAAATTTAACCAAGAAGTCTTAGTTGCATGTGGCTATGCCTTTATTTCAAGTTCCTATTACTAATTAAGAGAGGGAGTAGAGACTTATACTTTCTCAAGTCAACAAACCAGTTTCACACACAATAACTCATGATGTCTCCAATGCAGAAACTTACCTTAAATTATGGTAATTGTTAATTAGAGAATTACAGTTCCCACTACTTTAAAAATAGACTGTTTCCAGTAAAGGACAGCTGAGTCTTCTGCATCATTACTTTATTAAACTATTTGGTTTTAAAAAACAGAGTTAAATACAAAACAAACTTTAAGGTTTCTCAGAGTCATCCAAGTACCATTTCACACCAAGTCTTCAATACAGAGAATTATAAATAAGAATAAAAACCATCTCTGTAGGAGTTAAAAATAGAGGCAGTATGCACAACAATTGATAAAGCATTAGACAGCTGTAGCAAGACTTACAGTATAAACGGTGTTTCCCAAGAGCAGATAATCTGAAGTTTTACCATTACCAAATACAGTGCCTGTGGAAGGAAGCAAACACTTAAATATACTCAGTAGTACCATACTCTATTTACACTTTATCTTTGGATAGAACAGGACACCACAAGGAACAGCAAGAGCTCTGGAAGCCTGAGAACAAAGCTGAGAACACTGCTTATTTTGAAGTTTATACATGAGAGGTGGCAGTTGTTAGGCTTACTTGTACATACAAATTTGATTTCTGCCATTTACTGCTATATTGATGAACTTCCAGAAAAATTTTCTGTCAAGATCTATGTCCTTTTTACTTCTTATATCCAGATAACAAATAGAGTGTAGACTCTAGTTTTGTGTACTGTCCAGCGCCTAGGTTCTATGGAACAAATCCTGAAAATTCTTAAAAATTCATAGGTATTCTCAGCTATTTCTTGCAGATGCTACTACAATGCAGGCACTTTGAAATTTTCCACTTAACCTTATTTGTCCACACATTTATTGTCTCTAAAGAGTAAACACAAAAAAGCACTCAAAGAAAAGGCTGTGAGCTCTCAGTGACTTCCATAATCTTCAAAATTTTCAATGTACTAATAAATACCTGTTCAAATTTGCATTCTGTTGCTTAACAATATATATATCTAGCAATAAAGAACTCAACGAAATAAAACACAGGAATAAGCAGACAGCTATGACAGTTCCCAACCGTTGGACTACTAAGACTCAGCACTTTCATGCACTCTTAAAGTTGCGCTATTTATCATTCTTGCTCCATTACTCCATTCATTTCTCTCAGAATTCTCCTGCACTGTCTCTTTCATAAGAAATAGGTGGAGACAGAGACCTGTTCACAGTAGTTCTGTTCTCTATTGGATCTCTCTGACTTAAGCATCTCTCCTGGGAAAAAAACAGCATTATTTCTTCTTCTTTATACACACTTAGCGACTTCTGCCCTGCATTCTTCTCCCCTTGCAGAAGCTCTGCACCAGCTGGACCTACAGGAAGCTGTTGTACTACATACCAAGCACACAAACCCCTGGTATTATTTCTGCTCCCCTTGCTCACCCAGCCCTTCGTTAGGAAGGGAGAGAATGACAGAAAGCATTTTTTTTTCAGACTCGATGGCAGTAAACAGGTCAGCTCTAGCTCCTGTACTGTGAGCTGGAGAGATCCGCTCTGGAACGCTCTTGTAGGAACCCAGTGGTCTTACCCAGATATCACAGATTTATTGTTCACATGACCGCTATTCTGTGCTATGCAATGCATCAGTCTCTTACACAGACTGACTACAACTTCGAATTTGAATTTTATTATGAATTTGAAGCTGCAGTATTAGCATATGAAATAACATTTTGGGATCTCCTTCCTCCTGGGCTGTCTACAACCTTTTTCAAGGCAGTAAACTGCCACTGAACTTGCATCCAGTGGCCTTTCAGAGAAAACAGGCTGCTTCCTACTTTCCAGTATCCATTCAGAAGTCACTCAGCATGGAATATTGCAAGTTTTTCCCTTAACCTTCCCAGGTACAAGCAGCTGTGACTGTCTCACTCTCTTATGTCAACTACCAGAACATTCCTACAGTCCCATGTAAATTACTGATTTACATGGGTAGACAGTGATAGGACAAGGGGGAATAGTTTTAAACTAAGACAGGAAAGATTTAGGTTAGATATTAGGAGGAAGTTTTTCACACAGAGAGTGGTGACACACTGGTACAGGTTGCCCAAGGAGGTTGTGGATCCCCATCCCTGGATGCACTCAAGGACAGGCTGCATATGGCTCTGGGCAGCCTGGTCTAGTGGCTGGTGCCCCTGCACACAGCAAACTAGATGATCATTGTGGTTCTTTTCAACCCAGGCCATTTTACGATTCTATGATTCAGCTCTTTGAAAGGGTAGATAACAGCAGAACATGGGAAAATGGTTTTAAGTTGAGGGAGGGGAGATTTAGGTTGGATGTCAGGGGAAGTTCTTTACTACGAGAGTGATGAGGTGCTGGAACAGGCTGCCCAGAGAGGTTGTGGATGCCCTGCCCCTGGAGGTATTCAAGGCCAGGTTGGATGGGGCCCTAGGCAGCCTGGTCTAGTATTAAATGGGGAGGTTGGTGGCTACCAATTGTGCTAGAGTGAATTGTTTGGCTGCTATCAAGAAAGCTGAGATGACTACTAATTTAACAGAGAAAGTATAAGGCACAAGCTATTCTTACGTTTATATTTTCACAATGTGGAGGCAAAACATCCCAGGCCTATTAGAGCTGCCATAAACACAAATATTCCCACAGCCTGGAAATAACACTTTCTGTCTTTGACAATTAATACGGTGTGCCTCCCAACCACCCTGTTTCCTTCTACATCTCAGGTGCACATATGACAGCTAAGCTAGAACAGTGACAGGACTGAGGTGTCCAGGATGACCCGCTTTGATCTGTCACAAGTCTGCTGATACAGATGTAAGCTACTGGGTTTATATACCCCTGATGCAACAGGAAAGACTATATCCAAAGCCAATAGAGACTTACAAAATAAGAGTCAATGCAAAGGACTCTAGTGATTTACGATCTTTTAAGTATTTTACACAGTAGATTATTATACAAAGATAACAATTAAATAGTAATTTTCTCCACAGTTTAAATTTACTTGAAGCATATTTGTAGTTTTATGTGGACAGTATTGCTTCTGCTTTTAAACACATTTTAAACAAAACATTTTAAATAGACTGCATCTGTTTCAGTTCTAGAAGTGACACTACCTCACAGAGCTAGCAGTATTAATAAAGCATCACTACATTAAAAAGTTACTTCGAAATTCAGTACCTTTTGACATTTATTTTTTTATTTTTCATAACGCTTACCATGCTGGAGGGCTTTCAGTGGAAACCAAAACAGAATGAATGAGTGGAAGAGGCCATTTAAACAATGTACCCAGAAAACCTAAAGGAAAAGAGAAATCCATGAGAACCATTTGCAACAAACTAGCTCTGTGAACCCTGACCTTTCTTTTCATCTGTGTGTTAGATTCACAAAATGTGTTTCTGTCAGGCCACCACTGTGAAGTAACATAATTGACAGGCACTTTCTGCCTCTTAGCTCTTCATGGGTCATTTGTTTATTTTTATGTTTTGAAAAAAAAAAAGTATGTATTATCTCCTCCTTTTAATTTCAAATCAGAAGGGCAATTAAAACTTATACATATGGGAGTATCATCAGAAGAAAATAAACTAAACCAGACAAGTGGAACAATTGCTACATTCTAAGGAAGGGAACTAAAAAAGGACTTCAGTTTTTAAGTTTACTTTTTGCATAACGATTTTTAAGGCAGAACAACAAATCATGAATTCACATAGACTTACCTACACACTTCCACACACAAAGAAATTAAAAAAGGACAAATAATATCTTCCAAAGACTTTTCCTTACATGCACACCTTCATCACACGGATCCCTCTTTAATGTACTTTCAAAATAATTTGAATTAACTTCAAACTTATTTCCATTTATAAAAAAAACTTCCAAAAACAAATGTATTATGTTTACCCAGACACAACCTTCTGATGCTTTCCGTAACAGATATCATACATATTCTTAAGTTTTTTTTTTTTGTTTGTTTGTTTTTTAAAATATCTGTAACCTGTACCTTCAGGATAGCAATTTTTTTTTTTTTTTTCCATTAGCAAAGTATTTGACAATTACAGCCTTTATTAGAACTAACTATTGTGTATTATCAGAGTTCAGATGTTCAAACAATTGAAATTAAGTTGCTTCACGTTTTTCACAATGTCTCAGAGTCTTTTGTTAGATTATACAACTACCCTAGGATGTATGATCCAATTTACACTCCAACACTTTGCACATTTGAACTTGTGCTACTCATTAACCTTTGTCTCTCCCTCTTGCTATGTCATTACCAGAAGTTTTTACTTGACAGAAAGCACAGGTGGATGCAAGAAAAATTAGTTCTACTTTTACATTTTCCTGGCCAATTCTTATTGTCACATGCTAATCCTTTAACCTCTGTCATGACCTCATAACCTTTGATCCCTTTTACCATAACAAACATCTGCATCAACATTCAAGACAGTCATGTTTCCAAATCTTTAACAACACCTATTCAACTTATATAGCTGGGAATTTTGTAGACTTTTACTGCTAATAAGTATCATATGCCACAGAATTTCCAAGGAAGTGAACAATACAACTGTGCAATAAATATATACGTATTGGAGTTATCATTTAAAAACAGAACTGTAACTCATGATGTACACTACTGTATTAAAAGTATCACAACACAGAAGTGCCTGAATTAACAGACCATTGTAAGTCTTGCATTGTTAAAGCATTCGCAGTGACATAATGATAGTTTCCTTATCATTTTCAGGTTTGTGGGTGAAGAGAAGAAGTGAGGCTGAAGGAGAAAAATCTCACACATATAAGATTCAAGGACATTTTAGACAAGTAATTCTCTTTAAAAGTACTTCAGTTTCATAAGAAAAGTGGCACAAGAGTAAGAGGTATCAATCATCACTTAACAGGTATTCAGTGGCAAATTAAGAATGTCTTCAACTTCATTATACAATGACATTACTTCAAAGTCCTAATTATATGCAAAATAATAAAATCAAATCAAAAGGAACCCTTAAAATGTTACAATGCTTGCACAGATTTGGGAAATAGTTCAATTATCTCTTAATACAGATTATTTATGGACAAATCTGTAGAAATTGCATGTTTTATATATAAGCCCTGTGGTTTTTTTTTTTTTTTTACTATTTAATCTCCAAGATCATACAGAGATATTAAGATATAATAAGATATTTTCTACTAGAAGTAGCTGCAAATTTCTTTTGATCTGATGCATTTTTAACTGTATTCAAGTATCTTTTTCCAAAACTCAAAATTAAATTGTAAAATCATAACCCCAAATGGTCAAAGAATTGAACCACGTCCCTCCCTCTACAAATCTAATGACAGATTTAATTGTCCTTCTCCACACTTCTCCATAGGCTTCTGTAATCCATTCCCATATAACAGTACAAACACATACAAACCAATGACAGAGGAGTTTAATCACTTGTGCCTGTAGAAGACAGCTTTATTGCCAGCAGAGAAAAAGAATCAAGGCTGAAAACAAAAGAATACTTGCTGTCTATTTTCACATTTCAGTATAAACAAATACGATTTATATCATTTATGGATAAGTGGACAACTGGAAACAGTAGCAATAAACATCCTCTCCTAAAGATAATTATGTTTTAATTACATTTGATTTTTATCTACCTTGGTATTGAAGTCCAGTGCATTTTGGGAAGTCTTGTATAACTCAGGATATTTCAGCATGTTTTCTTTTCGGCAGGATCTCTCAAATATTCCAAGAGTCAGTGGAGGCATTGCTGTAAACATCTAGTATGTGGATTAAAAGAGCAGATTGCAAGAGTTGAGAAGTGAAGCCTTGCTTAAGGATTATTCAAAGTTGTTACCCAAGAAGTCTTTATGATCATGATTGAAAATGAAAACACAAAAACAACCTTACCACATTGTAAAGGCCTATACACCATCTTTCAAAGAGAATTTGTCCAGAAAAGCCATTGACAAAAGCAAACCAGATCTGAAAAAGAGGAAAATCATACTACTCAAGTGTCTTGCAAAGTGTAATAAACAGATTTTTCTTCAACTTCATAAAACAGGGTATTCCCAGAACACATTTACAATACAGTTGAGAGTGTTCTGGTCTACAACTCTGTGACAAAAATTATTACAGAAACAACTTGCTTTCAGAACAGAAGGGCAATCTGGTCTAATATGTGAGCAATTCCAACTAAATATGAAAATATTTCAGGGAGGTAGCTATTTTCAAAATCAATTTCATGTTTTTTAATATTTAAGAGTAATTTAGCTCAATGCATTTGTATTGTGGGTTTTTTTTTTGTTTTTTTTTGTTTTTTTTTAATGAAACAGGATTACTTTCCTAAAAACATGGAAACATGGAAAAAAGAAACACATTTTCTCGCATTCTTTAGCAATGCATAACCACTTTCTTGTTTTTCTTACCTCATATTTATATTATTTGAATGACAGGAAAATTATGTCATGACAAGAGAGGATGTTTTACTCGTAAGCTATGCCAAAATTATTTTGTCTTTGACAAATACTCATTGTAAGGTATCAGAAGTCAGGATTACCTAAATAATATTCTAGTTAATTTAAGGTTCATGTCTTTCAAGTGAACTTTCAAATGTCACTTCGCAGAGACTCTGCTACAGTTTGCATTTTGTTTGACTTCATAATGGAAGCATGAATTGCTATAAATTCCATGTTTATCAATATATACATAGGCTGATGTGCAGATAATCAAATTCTATGAGCAAACTTATTCTTTTATTACATGGAGGAATGTTTGAACATTTTTGCAAATACTTCGAGGTAGAAAAAAATTGAAATTAGCAACTATTAATACGAAAAACAGGAGTTGAAATCCAGTTAAAACTGCTGTTTATTCAAGCAATAAGTAAAAAGTAAAAATATCTAAGTCCAATTATTGGACCAAGATTGTATACAAGAAGCACAAAAGTTAGATTTGCAATACAAAGTCATAGGACCCGACAAAGTTTCAGAAATCTAAGTTTCTTCTGTTATAACAAATATCCTATTTTCTAATGTTTTATTCTATTAACTTGAAAAGCAGTGTTACTTAAGGGAATTACTCCATAGCTGTTCATTAATCAGATATTTTTATTAAATGTTGTGTATTTTACTTTCGGATTATTGGAGCGGGTATTATGATTAAACAGTGATGAAATTAGATCTTTACAAGCAGTATTTTCTCTGTAATTGAGCATGAGAGTTGTATGAGCATTCATTACTAAACATCAGCATGATTTTTTTGATATTTTACAACTAAGCTTAAACCATGAATCTAGTCTAGACTCATCACTACTGTTCAAGACAAGTTGTGCTCGACTGCCTTTTTTCATTTCAACTTCCTCATAGCTCCTGCATTATCGAACCCCCAGACTAGGAAGATGGCTCTTGGTAGGGGACTGATGGACAGGTAACATTACATGATTTGCCCCTTTTAAAAACACTTAATTTGAAACGGTTTAGGGTGATGTAAAAGCAAATTATCATAGAGGAATAAGCGACTCAGTAGCCAGGCTTAAGTGCATATGTCTCTTTGCTGGTAATGTTAGACAGTTTAACAAAAAATACAACTCTAGTAAGAAAATTATACCCTTTACCTTGCATGAAAACCAAACTCTATAGAGCTGAATACAGTATTAATAGCGACAGTGACAAGAAACACACACTTTCTTCACAATGGGAAATTTAATTACAGACAACTGTGTTTCATTCTGATTTTGGGGGACAATGGATGAAGGCAACTGCATGAGCAAAACATGAGTATTTATGACTTATTTTGCATCATGGTAATTTTGGTTGTGCGCCCCAGTCAAACTGCTCAAATTACTGAGCAAACATCCCCGTAATGAGAGGAAAGGAGAGAGGGGCCTGAGAAGTAATTTGGACTGTAAGAAGGAGAAGTGAAAATTCAGACCATTTTGTGGTTCAGTGATCATGGAATTTCTCTCAAAATAGAAGACTTTAGTTCATAAAATGAGATATATATCAATGCAGATCCTTACATTGCTGTTTTCAAATCATATAATGCAAAAAAAGTGGGCACAAACTGCTTTCCACTGTCTGTTTTTTAAACTGAAGTCAGTACACTTTACATGCACTATAATCATACTTCACTATATAACCTTTAATGTTACGGGGACTAGTTCCATATAAAAGATGAGGCGCATATTGAAATATACACTGAGTCATAACATAGAGTGGAGAAAAAAGTTATTACTGATCACTTCTGGTTTCTTTTCAATAGTTTAGATGTTGATAAACACTATTCAGAGAGCATGAAGTATTACTATAAACCTTCAGCATTCCTAAACCAAGAAACTCGTGGCACCCATTTCACCTCACCTCACAGCTGTCTATGAACAAGGCTGCATTTTAGATTACATGGAATCCATTATAGCACTTGTTTCTACTGAGCAGACATTTAAAATATAACACGCACTTACGAAGTAAAGGCAGCATAATTAATTATTTTCAGCTAATAAATTTTTTTTTTTTTTTTTTTTTTTTTTTTAAATCAACCTTCCAGACATGTCTTTCATAGCATTACTTTCTAAATTCCAAGACAGAAGAGGTGTGGTCACAAAGGCCTCACAGACGTTTTCCTGATGTAGCATTTCTGCATATTAAGCAGCAGCTTACAAATACTCATTGAGCTCTCTGCTCCCACGCCTGATCTGTAAAAAAAACTGAAAAGAGAGATTCAAGACTGGCAGTTGTCCTTTCCAGAGACATTCAATGATGAATTTCTGCCCATTCATTCACAGCATTGACATGAGCCATTAATGTCTGTGAAAGATTTTGAGCTGACAAGTGTTGGGTATATAGTAATTGAAGTAGAAGTCCCCTAATCTTCCAGAGAGGGTGTATATGACAAAATGCTTGTACGTGTGATACGTAAAGGGTCAAAATCCACATTAAAACGATCTCTTTGCCCTCTGTCTGCTCAGCAGGTTGAGGCTTCAACTACTTCTGGTACTTTGTATTTTTTTTCTCTAGGATCTTTGCACCTTGCATTTAAGTTTCTCAGAAAGAATGCAACTAGTGGAATATTTACATCTGATTCAAGTTATACATTTACAACGTGTTTGGAGGTGACAAAAACAGAAAATTAAAGAAAACAAGAAGTATGTTCTAAAGCCCGACTTCGTAAATTTCTCTTTAAGCACCTAATACTGTTTTTCAGTAAATGTTGAAAAAAAAAAAAGTTGAAAAAAATTTGAACATTTGAAAAAACATTGATATAAGAACTACTTATCAGGAATTATGGAAGTAAGATCGTTTGACTAGATAATCTGATTTTTAAAATGCTAGATCTAAAAAACATCTATAAAACACAAAGGATGTTCAATATCTTTTTTTCTCCCCAGCGGCTTTCTATTTTATAAGTTTTTCTAAAGAGTCTGTATACTTACTGCTACTTATAAAATAAAAAGTTTTATAATATTAAATATTTTCAGATATCGCAACAGTAAAAGATCACTAATATAAACAACAAAACCAGAAATATTGTTCTAATGTTTACAGCAAGTTTAACAGGAATAAGGCATTTTCCTTCAGTCAAAATTAAACACATACTGTGCAAAAGTTCAAGATATTAATTTGACAGTGTATTAAAATTTGAAGTGTTTTTAAGAATAACTGTTAACCATGAGGCTGCAATATGATCACGAAGGTTGAAAGCTACATCTACATTAATCATAGTGCAGTACAATTATGGAAGATTTACTTGTAAAAATTACTGTTTAATCAAAGCTTGAAACGTTTTTTTCCATATTTCTAACTCACAACATCACTGTTATGAAAATTCATTAAAAATACACTCAAAGTTGTAAGGCTGCAATGGTCCCAAAGGTCTTGAGAACTACACCTACATGTTGTCTTAACAATACAAATGAAAAGTCCTCTCATACTACTGTATTTTTCACAAGATACCATTCCGATTAAAATTGCAAGTGAGAAAAAAAGGTCAGTTACCTTTAGGAAGGTAATCCTGTTTCAAAATAGAGCTTAAAGAGGCATGGCTACCACCTCAACAAGGAAAAAGCATGCAACAGTGTAATTAAGCATGTAAAAAACCATAAGGATTATTCCAAACAGCACAACACAGTTCAGTAGAGACTTGAAAAAGGACTTCAGTTTACAGATTGGACAATTAATGACATCAGCTCCACAAAGAGCTTAAACACATACATCTCATGGTGAATTTAAGGCTACTTACTTACTAGTAAGATTGTAGTGGGAGGTCTTTTAAGTTAAACAAATAAAATAAAAAAAATCACTAATATTCTAATTAATATTAATATATCACTAATATTCACTAATACGAGTTCAATAAAGATTTATCACTACTGTTCACTGGAAGTTAAATGCTTCTTAAAAATAATATAGAATAATCAAAATCTCAAAAACAATAAAGTTTTAATTTTATAAAGTAGCATTTACTGTAAAATTACCTCAATGATATAAAGGACTATATTCTTGTAGAAGCAATATAAGATGCATTTAGCTACTCTGTTATAATTCCAGGCACCATGAACCAATAACAAATTCTTCAAATACTTGAACTGCAAAAAATGAGAAACAAACATATAATGAAAATGTCCATAGATTGATATTAATTTGATATTAAATTAATTTATTATTGTCTTTTACAGTATAATGGCTTACCTGAGCTATTGAGTAGTCTGAAGAATTAGCAGCCTGTAGACCTTCATTTCCACTAATACCAACACCAACATGTGCTGTCTGTATCATACTAACATCATTTGCTCCATCACCAATTGCTAGAGTTACTACTTTAACTTGCTTTTTGACCATATCTACAACTTCAGATTTTTGAAGTGGAGATACCCTAAGGTGTAACAGAAAAGAAGATAAAAACAACAGAACTTTCAAATAGATGACCTTGAAAAACATGCTTTATTCCTTGAAAAGGCACCAAAACTAGAGTAACATCCTAGAAAATGATATCAGCTTGTTGTTGGCCTTTACACTATTTGCCAAAAGAAAATTCCCAGAAGAATTCACAGAAACCTGGGATTTGTTGAAACAAGGTATTAATAAGACTAGAGACACACAAGTCAAGCAGTAATGGGCCCCTAAAATGGAGTAATGGAAGAAAATCCAACATCGCCACTACTAATAGTAACTTAGAACAACTGTAGGCTGCTTTTCATTTTGCTTTTATACATTTTTATTTTCCTCTCTGCTAAAATACTTATTTTATAAATTTAAGAGGCAGATGTCAAAGCAAACAGGCAGAAGTAACAAGCATGGAGCACCAATACAATAACATAACCTACAGTGCTAAGTTAGAAGATGCAACTTTGAACGCTCTATCCTTCACTCTAACTGATAGTAACTTCTCCTTCATTTGTTTGCACCAACCACCAAGAAATGTGGATGGGCAAGGAACAAACTATTTCTCAAACTACTGAGATGATTCTCAAGATCAAACTCTATCAGTTTTGGTTCCATCTTTCATTATGTCATATGTGTATGTTAGATTTCAAGTTCACAATGTTCTATTTTGAAGTTGAAATTGAGTCCATATATTTGAGATATGATAACTGCAAATAATTTACAAAAATTATGTGTCAGCACAGGCATGTTTCACAAGGTAAGGAAGGATAGGAACAAACTCTAAGAAGTGTGTATATCCAGTCTTGTGCTTCCTGGCACTGGAACTGCCAACCAGACACTTCCTGAATGAGTCATTTAGGGATACTAGAAGAACAGAAGATATGCAAAAACCCAAACCTTACTCTTCTCTATCTCCTAGAATTGCAGAGAAAGCAATTCACATTTCAAAACATGAACTCTGCTGCATCTAGCTGAATTTTCTGTGGAGTTGGGAATGTGCATCCAGTGAAGAGAAGATGAAATGATCCTTTCCTCACGTATCTCTGCAGATAACTAATTCTGACTGCCTCCACGCAAAAACTAAACAAGGTTAAGAAGGAAAACTTGCCCTTGGGTACAAAAAAAGTCAAAACTGAGGAAAAAATGTGCATTTGTAATTTATTTTCTCCAAGTCTTTTTTATGCACTCACAGCAATAATCACTGTGGCACCATAAGCTTGTGGTATTTTGTAGTTGAGGCTGCGAAAGAGTCCCCCTTGAAGTGCCAGAATTTTGGGGTTGTGTTATATAGGGATGTTCATATCTTAATTCTTCCAGGTCAAAAAGAATAAAAATAGAACAATATAAAATAAGAATAATATAAAAAAAGTTTTTGGGAACAAATTCAGAAATGAAAGCCACAAAAGCGCAGTTATTTCTGAATAATGTCTCTTCCTGAACACACTCTGTATATTGCTACTCACTGGGATACCGCGAAGCAGCAGAGCCTTTACAGTTTACTAGTACATTTCTCAACTGAACTAATGCACTTGTAAGCTCAGTAAGAGGAAGAAATATTACAATCAAACAAAAAATTCAGCACTATTCTATAGATCCTCATCAAAGATTCTGTAACTTCGGGGTCCCAAAGACACCAAAGGCCTCAGGATACTTGAGAAAATTACACGCATATATTATTGATGAGACTTGTGATAGCTAGTTGTATAATTTAGTCAAACTATTTTTCAGAACATGGCATAGTATGACGTTTCTGTCTGTGCAATGATCTTTACAGTAACAGCCAGGCTGAATAATCTGCCTTGTCTTGACTTTGCTCTTTTGTAATTCAGTTTGAGGGGAAAAGTTCTTTTCTCTAACTGAATGTACATTTCCTCACATTTCTTCTCCTTGCCTCTTCCAAAAAACCTCCAAAATAGAACAAATACCTCATGTCTTTTAAGATTAAGAATGAAATTAAGCTCTCCACATTCAGCCGCCTTCTTTTTAAATAGCATTGAGTCTGAAGGTAAGCACTATGTAAGAGCATGCTATGAGATTTTTGAGAAAGGCAATTGGGATGAGTACAACTTTGTGGTGAACTTGGGATGAAAGCTTATGGGTAACAATCCTCTAGAAGAATCTCTGGTCCAAGTATTTTAAGAAGTATTTCTAAGATTTTTTAAAAATTGTTTTTAAAATTTGAATACTGCTGATGAGTATAATATCAAGATCAGCATTAGTCGGCTTCTACAGAAAATTCCTGACCTGATAACTTCAAAAAAAATCTTTCCAACTTTCCAGGAACAGCAACTTGCTACCCTTTTAGAAAACATTATAGAGGCAGCTGGAAGATGGCATTTACTTTCATTGCCAAGTGAAAGCGACGTGTTCGGTGGATACATCTAAATTCAAGACACCAAAAAAAAACAAAACCAAAACACCAAACCACCTCCTTTTCAATTTGTTTACTCCAAGTGGTGCATTTTTACTACAAAATAATCAATTTGACATTCTTACTGCACACGTTATTTAGAAACCAATACAGAGCTGGAATTCAGTTTATTTAAGTCTTTAAGCCAAACATCTGCTTGGGATTAATAACATATGAAGATTTTTTGAAGTAAAATATCTACTAAATATTTGTCAGCTTCTTGTGTTATGGCTACTCTTATTAAAAATTCATTGGTAAAAAACAACTCCAAAGAAGTGAATATAGTATGTACACTTCAAAGAAAACAAAGTAATTTGTAGTTTTAAAAACAAAGTAGTGTTTAAAATGTTTAGTGCTATTATATGGATGGAAAAGAGGTTGAAATTTTAATATACGCACAGCAATATATTTAAGTGATTTGTATTAATTAAAATGATAATTTTTGTCTTCAAAATCAGAAACAAGTAGAGGCAATTTTATATGCTGGAGCATTAACAGCAAAAAGTATTTTGATAGAATTTCTACTTTAGAGAATTATGTGGGATTGAAGATGTGCATATTAGAACAGTGAATGCTACAAGCAAATATTTTAGTTTTAAACCTGCATCCAATTTTAAACAACCACAAAATATGTCAGAGCATATACCTAGATATGTATTGAAACCAGATGACCTGAGAATATTATGGAAATACAGAAATAGCTCGGAAAACGCTGTTAGAATGGAAACCTTCATTTTGTACTTTTTGTTGTTTTGTCACAGAAAGGTTAGCAATACATGACAACTCTATGTACAGAATACCTTGCAATGGCTCAACAGTTCAACAGAAACAGCAATCACATCTTTTCAAACAGTTCAACAGAAAGAGCAATAATGTTTTTTCAGAAAATATAGTTGTATAGAAATATATAACTAGTTATATGTTTTATATATATTTCTATACAATTAAACTATATATATAGTTATATATTTCTATACAACTATATATAACTATAGAAATATAGTTCAAGGAAAGAAAAGAAAGGAACAGTTTTGAAATAAACATTCTATATTCAACCCATCTATGACCTGTTATCTGTTATAATGAGCAAAACTGGAAAGACTACTGCTGTGAATTTTCTAAAGCAATTATAATCAGGCACAGTACCCAATGTAAAACAAAATGGAATTAGATGTAACAAACATATGGAAACCTCTAAAAATGCGAGATCTCATGCTTACAACACTTCTATACTGAGAAACAGCAGGACACCTGGACTACAGAAGACTCTAAATATCTGTTTTTGAATTCACCATGCCTACACCCAACAGCTTTTTCCATACTATTACAAAGATCAAAACAGCAAAAAATATTTTGAAAACATTAAATGGCTATACTTCTAATTGTTACCTTGGACACTGATAAAAATAACACCTATTTCCACAGCTCTGGGATTTTTGATTGCATTTCTAATAGATGCTCTGTGGTGTCAACAAACTTGTAATGAAAAGTCCTTGCTTCTGTTTTTTTCCACACATAAATCACTTGGGCTAAGGCAAGCCCTTTGAAAGTTTATAGGAGCAATTCTTATTTATCTAGCTACTAATGACTTGACTTCCCTTTTAGTTCAATCCTTCAAATGTAGAAGAGGGGATGTACTACTAAGGAGATATTTGTGGGTTTTGTGCTTAAAGCTGTAAAAACGCAGTGAAGTCCCAAAACACAGAAGCTATCAGTTATAATGCACTTTTTAGTATAAATACAAAAACATTAAAAAGCAAGGCAAACTGTTTTCATATTGTGTATGCTTGAAAAAATGCATATCATATTTTGTTTAATCTCAAAAAAGTTCCCCTGTTAAGGTAAGCCTAGAGCTCTAATAAAGTTTACATGAAAGGATTAAATGCTTGGTTGTATAAGATAACACCAAAACAAATCAGGAATAATAACAACAAAAACATAAAGGTGTTTCTGTCAAATTCAGGAAATAAAGATCACTTAGTGTAGTAGCTTTCGCATTTCTGTGCACTTATGCAGCATCCTGATGGCTTACAGGAAAGGCAGAGATGTTAAGTTTTGCCTGCAGAGGAAGTTCTATAAAAGAAGCCAGACACATTGAAACCTGTAGTTAACTAGAGTATCAATTTAAAGTTAAAATCAGTCTTTTAATCTTGCTGAGACTATTCTTGATGGATAACACAATTTTCTTGGGTATATGCAATCTCAATTACTTTGGGAGGTGTGCTGCTGTATCAGGCTTTGCTACAGAAATACTTTGCTTGAATGACTGCATTTCAGAGCATTACTTACTGCTTTTCTTTATTTAGATTTTATGGGTGGAAGATATGGATACATATAATTTCTCTGTGAGGGAAACAGCTTTTTAATTTTTACATGTCAACAAAAATACTGTAGAGAAAGAGTAATGTAAACCTTACCTGCAACAAATAACAGCTTTACATGACAAAGCCAAATCCAGGAAATATTGCCTCACTCCAAAAGTCAAAGCATACTTCAGAGATTTACCATCAATAATGAGAGCAAAATCATTTTCCTTCCTTAAAGCATCACCAAGAGTACTGCAATGATGGCTAAGTGTCTCCCTTGTTCCCTGTTGCACAAAGAAAGTGTTATTTTTATTACCTTCTGTTTTTTAGTCTAAATATTCTTTCAGTAAAAAGAAATTTTCCTTTTGATTAAGTTAACAAGTAAATAGTCTGTTTGTCTGTATTTAGGAGGCAGTATTATGTATTTAGCCTGCTTTGGGGAGGTCAAGCACAGCTATACAATTGAGTGTCATGAATAAAAAAAGTAATTTCTTGTATTTCTTTCTATGAAAGGCCTTCGTAGGGCTACAATATACTGTCCTTCACAGCTCAGAAGAAAGAAGGGCTTTAAAGAAAGGAACATTAAAGTTTTTGCTTATAAAGATTTGAATTTGACAAACTGTTGCATCCTATGAAAACAGCAATATAAGGCTTAACAACCAAAAAATTGTGCTACTCCAGTGATGTCAGGCATATGTATACAGAATTTCGTGTAACCACCTAAAAAGAAAACTTCAAGAAATAATTATGAATTTCAAATACTCTGAAACAAATCTCAACTTCACCTGTCTCCATGTGCTGACTCTGCTGTCTGCCTACATAGCTTCTACTGGTCTTTTAAAGGCTAATTGGTTTATCTAAAAGAAGATTAGGCTGTTGGGGAATTCAGTACTCCAGGTTTCTTGTCTCTCCCTCTGTGGAAACTCCAAGAGTAAGATGACACAACAAAAATTCTTAAAAATGACAATAACTTCTGTCACTATTTTTCAGAGTGCCTTTGTCCATTATGCAACACTACAGCGTGCAAGAAATTACCAGCTTTTCTACATCTCCACAGACTACTCAGCTACTGACAAAGCTTAAACAACACAAGAGCCTGTAACTTCATATTATCCTCATCTATTGTTTCTCCTCATACATGCAGTTATCAACTCTTGTTTAAATTGCCCTCAATTTTTTTTAACCACAAACATTCTGCCAGGTAGCTCCAGGCATGCTACAAATAACAAACAAACAAAAAGAAACCCCAGGACAATACACATTACTTACCACAACTGTAAAATCGCCATATTTAAAATTCCTTTGTGGGCTTACATGTAGCTGCATGCTGAAATCCAGTGCACTTGATCATAAGCAGTGAAACATCCCTCATTTATTTCTACATCATTTCCATGTGGAATTTCTCAGTGAAACTCGCTAGTAATCAAACTACTTTCCACTTTTGGTTTTAAGTATTCTTAAGATCATAATCAAAAGAATAAAGCTGCATTATGTTTTCTGTCCATAATTAGCAGCACTATGCTAACATTAAGCAGCCCATTAAGCTAATGTGGAGGCAAAAATAAAATAAAATTTCTTTTATGTAAGAAATTTCAAGCAAAAACACATTTTGTTTGTGAAGCTAAGCAGATGTTCCTGGGAGTATAGCCATGAAACATATAATGCTGCAAAAAGAGATACTGAAATGTTTCCTGGAAGTGATTTCAGTTCTACCCCACCTAAGGGATGCTAAAGCTAAACTGGACATAGTGGAGTTATTTTTAATTCCATTAAAGAAGGATATTGGTTCATACAAAAATCTCTTAATGCAGTATATTTTTTGTAAACAGTTCCCTAGGATGGGATAAAAGTCTGAAGAAGGTTTTTTTTTTTTTTGTCTCTAGCTTCCTGTGTTTTGAATGCTAAGGCTGTATTAACACCAAACTGAGGAGACATTTGCTTTTCAAAATGTTTTACATTTCTTAGGGACATGGGACTCTGCCTGTCCCTAAAGGATCAGTGTTGAGCTGCTTGCATCTCAGAAGCCATTGGTATGCAACAGCTATTGTGGTGTCACCTTAACAGCTCAAAATCAATCTACCACCACCATTCTTCTTTCAGTAATGTCAGGAATGAGCAAACCAAAAGAAGTTCAAATTTCCTAACTCCTATGAGTCTATATCAGTCCTCACAAAGCCATGAGACTATATCCATACTTTGCAGAACCAAGGAGGAGAGAAACATCACAGCAATTGTTCTCTAAACACACAGGTCCCACTACACTGTGGGGCAAGGAAGTTCTGCGCTCTCCAAGATTCCTGTACCATGATTCTACTTCAAGATTTCATAGTCCTCCTGTACTGTGAGAACTGGCTGCTCAGCACCCTTCATGGGAGCACAGTTCCATTGCAAGATGGATCACAGAATCCCAGTATGAGTTGTGGACCTAAGCTGCTGAGAAGCCAAACTTTTGGCCATATTAATTAACAGATAATATTCCAGCCAATTATTATCACCTTATTGTCAACTGCCCTTGGCATGCAGAAGAGAAACTGCATCCACTCTTCCAGCTGCACAGACTTAAGGTTCTTTGATCGCAGCAATCAGCTTCTCTCAACATCTCCTAAAGCCTGCTCTGCTACCCAGTCAGAGTTTTCAAGGCTAGTTTTGATTCAAGCAATCGCTTGAATCATTCTAGTAGAGCAGAATCTACTAGTAGTGTAGACTGACTCCCAAACCCGACCATAAAAGCAAGGAAAAAGCACAGCAAGGAGACAAGGGATGTATTAACCAAACAGTGAAATAGACCACTAAATGAGCCAGAAAACTTTTAATGTAGTCACTTGTTAAAATATCAGCACAAAGTTCATTTACTATATTAAAATAAAGTGTCTCTTGCCCTAAAGTTGATTGCCAAATTTAACTGTTCCTGAAAAAGCAACTTAAGTTATTAGCACACACAGACATGAAAGTGGCCAGTTTGCAAATGCAACTTTAATTGTCATGAAATCTGTTACTTGGTACATGTTCAGTTTGAATACCATTTTTCTTAAACTTTATTAACATATGTTTTTAAAAAATACTGCTTAAAATATATTTGACTTTTTAGTCAAAATGGTTAATGTGCAATACTTGCTGTTTTCTGCTTTTTTTTTTTTTAATTGGACTCCCTTAAGTAGTTAAGTAAAACTATCTCATTATTTCATCACATATGAAGAAGTACACAAAATTGTCAAACTTGTGCATTTCAAATCCATTGATTTAGTACTGCAGTAGTTCTGCAATCCATCAATCTGTGTAAATAATCTAAACGCAGTAAAGAAGCTCTCATGTTATAGAGTAGTTGAGGAATGAAAAAATTGAAAGTACAGGGCTTAAACCAAAAACTTTTCTCTCTCTTCCCTCTCTAAAAACAATAATCACAAACTTTCATAAGCTATTCAAATACATAAACTGAGAACAGAAGAAAATTACCTTACTTCATTAATATCCCAATCTACTTGTGAAAGAAGTTACTTACTATATCAGTAGACTATTTTCAAATATTAATCAAGAGCTGCTACCTGTTCTGTTTTCAATTCTGATTTTACTTTTATCAATTTTATCAGGAAGAATACGTCAGTTAAAATAATTCATATTTAAAACGAAATCACTGTGATGTTCATGCCTCAACATTGAAAGCGTGCTATTCCAAATGACTCAAAACTTTTAAATAAGTACTTAGTTTTTTAAAAAAGTATTCTTGTTGCCCTGGGCAACCTCGTCTAGTATTAAATGGGGAGGTTGGAGATTCATGATCCTTGAGTTCCCTTCCAATCCAAGCCATTCTGTGAGCTCATGTTATAGCTTACTTTACACACTACCACTGAATCCTTCAGTTAAGGCAGTCCCCTCTTGCTGATTCTCATACTTCCCATTCACTTATCCTTCCCTTCCCTTCCCTAAGTCCTAATGTAAGCTTAGTTTCAGAATTTTCTCCTGAAGCCTCTTTGTCAGCGGAAACTCTTCTGCTATAAAGCTCATTTAAGATTCCCTGAGAGGACGGCACCAGGATATTTTATCTGGATATTTTACGTAGAAAATACTGGCGTTTTATTAACTTACAAATTTGCATGTTTTACTTACATCAAGAGAGCCTTCATTTATAACAATCAGTCCCATGTTCTTTCTCAGAAGTTTACAGGAGTGACCTGTAAGAACATTTTTTTTCCAACAGTTAGTTCCAGCAAATCCAGTGTAACACAACATAGTACTTTTTTCTGTAAGTGAGAGAATTAAAATTAGAGCTCCCCAGTTGAAAGCACTGGGAAAAAAAAAAACAGTAATTTGCATTCCATAGAAATTAGAGATAGTAAGAATAGACAGAATTTTCATCATTGCAACTTGTGAGAGGTGTTTTTTGTTCTTCTTCTGAGCAACTTTGAATAAGGCACACATTTTCTGTAAATCCCTTTTGGGTAGTTGAAAACAGCAAATAGATTTTCCTTAGCACTGGAAATTTATTGAATGCATGTTGCATTTCATGTAACATTTGCATATGTAAATGTAACCATTCTTTTCTGGTGTTTGATGCTTTAAGCAGAATTTGTGCAATGAGCTAATTATGCCAGGACAAATAAATACATAATATTACACATAATTAAAATGAAAATATTGGTATGACACTTATTTCCTCAAACCTCAAGGTTTGAAGAAATGATGAAAATAACCTCAGACCAACATTGTATCTCGTGGGCAAATATAGAGATTTTTAACATTAAATACAGTGATTGTAACAGAGTACATTTATCAAAATTATTTTTAGGACACATTTAGACTTATACTGTAAGGAGTACTAAGTCTTCAATACAGTTTTCATGTATTACTATTTAAAAATATTGGTTTATTACTGCTTAGTTTAGTTAACACATTATTTCCTTCCTCCCGCCCATAAAATACAAGGGGACAATCAAAGGAAATTTCTGACTGATGGCAAAGATTATAGTACTTCACAAACTATGTGCTTTACTGTATTTAAGATCATGGTTCCTATCAGCATTTCTTGAAAGAATGAATAATAAAGAAAGGAAATACTTATATTTTGTTAACATTACACCTTCTCATTCTTTACTCCTCTCCAGGATAACAGTAGATGTTTTTGCTGTTAGTTTTGCAATGGAGGAAAAAAACGACTTACCCACTCTTCTCCTACCAGAGACTGAAAAATAAATTATTATTTAAATTCGTGAATGCCACATAGTAGTATTATTCTACAAAATAACTTTCCATTCTGAAAACAATTTTACTCTATCAACAAAGCCATCAAGTAAGTGCAATTGTAATACCGATGTTAATGGCAGTTTCTTGTTTGTCCCCAGTAAGTATCCAAATTTTTATGTCAGCTTTCATGAGTGTTTCTATGGTCTCAGGCACTTTGTCTTGTAGTTTATCTTCAATTGCTGTTGCTCCAAGCAGCTGAAGATTCTGTGAACATAAAATATCGAGATCATGAAGATTTTCCAGTTTAAATTCAGTTTTAATCTTTTAGTTTCTTTTTGTTTAATATTGCGTATTTATGATGAAATTAATGCTTTTAAAATTCATGAACCTGGTATATTGAATCTGGTATATTTTAAGACTCTTCCACACATCTGTTTAAATTGCTCACATATATAAACTCAAGTCCTACAACTGACTGAAACTGCATGTTCACATCTTTCTTTTTGATTGATTAAACACTCAATTTATTTTTCAAGGTTTTAAATTTTAAGCAGTTTCATCAATGGGATCTGACACTTTTTAAAAACAACAACAACAAAAAAACCCCACCATCACAAAAAAACCCCCACAACAAAACAAAACAAAAATCAAACCAAAACAAGAATCCTTCACCAAAAATCAGGAGAAAAAATGCAACCAAACGTCAAAACCTCAAGCAATATCTCATGAATGCATTCTGGTTACCCGCTTTCCTGTTGAGACAGTGAATTCAAACTGCTCGGGGCTGTTCCAGAAGCAGTATTGCCAGGAACAGAAGGAAAGCTCTGCTATGGTGAGACTGTACCTGACTATCACCTCCCCTTCTGGGTCTTCAATAGAAAAGATATTGAAAAAAAAAAATGGAAGAAATCCAGTGGAGGGATACATAGCAGGCTAAATGGGTGATTCTATTTTCTGCTAACTGAAAAGGGCTTACAGAAAAACCTTCTTCCTCTGTGACATGCACAGTGTAAGAACAAGAAACGCATTCTCCAATAAAAGAAATTTAAATTCAGAAAATTTGGAAGAAGAATAGTTTAGCTCTATAAAATCGCTTAGTGCAGCTGAGAGAATTCCCTTAAAATTTTATTATAGTGCTGGGCAACCTGATCTATCCTGAATTAGCCCCACTTTGAGCAGGAGGTTATGTCTGGATGACCCCTTAACCTTATTCGTTTCTGTGATCAGTATACAACTTAGCAGCTCTTTATTTATCACCTACTTTATTCCACAAAACAGCAACCCTGAAAAACAATAAAACCTTTACAGCAGCTCAACTAAAAAAATCAGTACTTTCCAGGAAAGAAGTTATTTTCTGTCAAAACTTTGACAAAATAATCTTTCTTTCATTTCAGTCACCTCAGTTGCAAGGGCTATACAACTATATATATGGCTATACATATAGTATATAGATATATATGGCTATATCCACCAGTATAATGGTAGAGCTTTTTCTATCAAAGCATTATTTGTCAGTCACTCAGATTTTATATCATATAAAGAAATTCCCAGAAAACTGCACATACTTTCTCAATTAGTTCATAGCTCTCCTCAAGTTTGAGCGCTCTGTTTTGTATAGCTGTAGAAGCACGGTGATAGACATCTAACCACTCTTGATAATCACTTTCTGAAATCTCAGCCACAGCAAAACACAAGGTTCTTAAGCCTAAAGAGAAAGCAGATAGCAAACGATTATTTGTTTCCTTCATATACATATAACGAGTAACTACTACAAGCATTTTTTCATTATATTTGCTTCTGTCTGATTTTCAGCATACTGCTGCACATCTTGAAGGAATTTGTTCCACATATCCAAAGCAAAAAGTATAATAACCTTAATTAAATGCTGCTATGATGAGAAGCAATAAATATATAATAAAGGTTAAAATATATCATTGTGTTATAATTTCTCTTTCACACCTCCCCAAAACGTCCTCAGAAAGTTCTGAGCCGAAATTTAAAATTCACCACATAGAAGCCAAAGATGAATCTCATCAAATTTTATTTCCTCACCTCACAGATTTTCTCAATGTTCCAAATTCTTAAAATAAACCCTCTGAATAAAGGCAGCATTTTGGGATTTTATTTAATCTTTGCAGTAATTGCAGATAAATAATAGAATTTTTCCTTCAGTAGAAACCTAGACTGAGCACTACAGTGAGAATTTGAGGCTGCAAAATTATGGAAAAAAAAACACCATATATTTTCTGTCCACACAGATTTAATTTCAGTTTAAATAGACAGCTACATCCTAACAGTTTGCTTTCATGTATCCTGAGATTTTTACAGTTCTAGGGCATGAAACTGGATTAACTCTTTATACACGGAGAAGGGCATTGCTCTAGCCAAATGAAATCGTCTGATACCAGAATTTGCTGGCATGGAAGTTTAGAAGAGGTATAGGTAGGACTACTATATCACCCTTGAGCATTTACCCACTGTTCTGTAGGAGGTGGGGAGCATCTTAACCAGGGATGGACAAACACAACATATTTGAACATTGTTCCGTTGTGCACAGATCAGCATCAACAGCAAGATTCAAATGCTGAAAGAGGCTTGACACAGCATAAAATAATTTTCTTTCATTTAAGATACACAAGTAATTTTGTCAGAATGTAAACCATTTGTATTCCTAATACACTGACAACTGAGTACTGTTATGATCACAGCTTCTTACCACCTAGCTCCAAAAATTTAACAAATCAAATGAATTACTATTAACATTTTTGTTTAAAAAGGATATGTTAGCAAGATTCAAATTAATGAATATGAGGTAAGAAGGAGGAGAAAAAGAATTCATGACTAACTAATAGTATTTCCACAATTCCTTCAAAATATTTTATGCAGATGATGAAATAAAGAGAAAAAATTACCAAATACGAGCCAACTTATCTTTTAAGGCATTTTTTTTTTAATCAGAGTGTAATTATTTTTCTATTTTTAATTTGAAAAGTTTATTTTAATTTTATTTTAAAAGAGTCTTCCAAGTAAAAAGTAGCAAAGAGTATCATTAAGTCAGCTTTGTAACAGACTGGAACAACAACACAGAAAAATCATACACTTTCTCATTTATCCTAGCCGGCATTAACACTCAAGCTTAGTAAATGCTTAGATATAAATGCCAGCCATGCTAACCACTTCATTTTTGAACACACCAAGAACATGCAGCAAATGCCAAGGACATACTGTACTGCCACATGAAAGGCTACACATGAGAAACTTTGCAACATCATTGGCTGCAATTTAGATCTGGTGCAAAAATAAACACCAATGTCATTAATCGATTCCAGAGAGAAGTACTTTTACTACTTCTTTTTCTCCAGATTGAGAATTTAGTGTTTTTGAAAGGTTAGCAATTCACTTCTGAACAGTACATCTTTTCATCTGGTGAAAAGCACTTGAACAAACTTCTTAACATCAGTACATATCTTCCCTGGTTTTCAAGACGGGCAAAATCCTTCGCTTTTTATTTTTATTTCCATCAGTCCAACCTGAGTGCTAAAGAAACACAGTATCATTTGTACCACTGATCTAATGAGAATATTGTTAAGAACTGGATTTAAATTCTCCTATTAGTTCACACAAGGTAACAGATATGGATTCTACGTTTATCTTTTCTGCAACCCAATGTATAGACTCACATCCCAAACCAACTTCATATCTAATTATCTTTTCTTTGACTGGTCCTGATTAGGTCATGAAAATACTTCCCCAAACAGGCCAGTCAGCTCAGAGATGGATTCTTATAGTGAAAGGATGCACCTGTGGCTTCTTGTACTATCTATACAGTTGCAGTTCTGCTTTCAAGTTTCTTGTAGAAATTTACTCTAATTTCTAATATCTGTAAGACTTCTTTTCTGTTCATTTTTTTAAGGCTAACAAAATGTTTCCTGCAGTGATCTTAATATGGAGAATGATCTGTGGCTTGCTTCTGCTGTCACAAATAAAATCAAGAGACCAAAGTTGCCAACTAATACACTAACCAAAATGCTTAATGACATGATAAACCAAAAGAGAAAAAAAAAATATTTAGAGAAGTCATACACCTAACAAGCAGAAAAAGTATCTTTCCTGATTCAATAGCATTTGACCAGACATACAGCATCATGAAAAGAAAACGTTTTAATAAAGTTTGCCTTCAACTGTAAGCTTATTTCTTAAAAACACGTTGAAGTTACTTTCAATGTCCTAGTAAGATAGTATTAGAATAAATGAAGAGGTGAAAAGTTGCACTTCATATTCTCATAACTATTATAATTCTGCTTCCAGCCACTCTCTTCGAACAATAAACTAAAACACAACAATACTTCACAGCATACCCCCATAATACTTGACACAACCCCATTTTTGTTATCTGCAATAAAGGAAGAGCTAGGAGAAGTGCTGGGTGAACTTACATCAAAGCCCAGAGCTTTCTACAGTCTGCCTTACTGCTCATATGTACACTGTGGAAACCACTTTTATTTAATAACTGGCTGTTTGTATCAATCATCTTAATTTCATAGCCTTAAATTTTACTTACTGCTCTTATTTAATAAGCCTTAATGGAATAATGGCTTTGAAACAGCAGTTGTTAAAAAGTAGCATATGGAAAACCAGTGATTATAATTCTCCTTATTGTGACTGGTAACAGAAATATTGTAAAGCTGCCTTAAAAGCATTATGCTAGTCATAACCAAGCATCTTTGCCTTTTCCTGTGCATCATCCCTACAACATTTGTTGTGTGAGGGGAGATGAAAGTAATCATGAAAGATGAAACCTACAAAGAAACAAAGAACCATGCAATGTGTTTGTTCATTGGAAAAACGTATTCTGTTTTAAGAACCTAAAACTACAAATTTACTACCAAAGATTCTTAGGAAGATTATTATATTTGACGGATGCAAAACTAAAACAATTTTCTACATTACATATACATACAATACAGCAACATAAGATTGGAAAACTGAATTGAACAGTGAAGAAATTCTGCGTTCGCACTCTATTACTCACCTTCTGTAGCAAACTGCTCTAAATGTTTTAAGGTGATTTCTTTGTATTTTGAACTTTCAGCAAGGCGGTCATAAATTACAGTATCCTACAACACAAATAAAATGAATGCAAGCCAATTCAATAGGAAAAAAAAAAGTGTTTTGTTGTGTACACAATAAAAATAACACAGGAAAAATGGCAGGAAAAATATGCAGCACCGTATTTATTTCAGTATAAAAAATGAATCTCTAAATTTGCAAATTCTGCTATGATGTAATTCATCTACTACATGTTTTGCTGTTTTTTCCTTCATTTTGAAAAGTATAGCATCTTCCTTGTGGAGTCTTTTGATCTCTCTAACGTTAAGACAAAGACAGCATTTTAAGCCCCAAAGTTAAAATTAGTTTTTCTTAAATGCCATTTTAAGGCTTTTGTAACCACCCTGATACACAGAACATTAATGATAGCATCTTGTCTAAATGAGAAGATATTGAATGTACATTTATATTCAATCACCTTTATCTCTTTGAACCATTCAGGAAATAGATTTGCATCATCCTCTGATTAAATTTCAATCTAGATAATGGACAAAGAACTAACAAGCAACTCTGTCATACCCTAATAATAGTGCATATGGGAATTTCCTTTCCACAGAGCCTGTATTCAGGAAGACGTAGAATTAGCCTAACACTGACGACAGGTTAAAACTACCACGTAGTCTTTCCTGGAAGACTACTATTTCCACTTACTGACTCATGCTCAGCTACTCCAGCAAGAAAATTATATATTTAGCAATACCTTCAATCATTTTCTTGGAATACAGAAGGAAATTAATTGACAGTACAAAAGTATTTAGCTAAATTACAAAGAATAAGATGGATGAGTCTCCCTTACCTTCACAGACAGTAAAACAAGGAATACATTAGTCCACCACATTAAACAACTACACAACGAAAACATGTACACTGAAAAAATTATCAGTGCTCCTTCCCATATCTCTCACCACTTTCCATATTCTCATTACAGTTATTCTAACTTTCTGCAGGCATATTTGCATTGTTAGCATATGTTCTTTGATACATTGAAAATATTGTAAAACTCACAGCTCCTTTGCAGTAGAGTCTTAACTTTCCCGTTGGCGTGCGAACTATCACTGACATTCTCTTCCTAGAACTGAAAGAGAATTAAGTGCCCAGTAAGTAGGTGGTTCATAAACATAAATATTTACCAATGTCTTCCCTACAGTTATCAATATTTAAGTTACAAAATACAGAGGAAAACAAATAAGGCCCACGTTTTCCAAATGTTCTTCTCAGGAAAATGAAATTATTACTTTGAAAATATAAATTTCACTGTCTAATCACTGAAGTTAATGCAGTCTGCCTGTGCTCTTCTTTGTAGATCTTTTCCTGTAAAAAGAATTTAAGAACCTTTACTGTCATCTTAATGCTTTCTTACTGATCACAAAGAAAGCATCTTATGCCATAAAGCATTTGTGGCCAGGATCATAAAGTCCTTCTTTACCCTAAACAGAAAGAGTCTCTAGGCCTCTGCACTGTGTTACTATTGACAAATACTTCTGTTTAATTTAGCATGCTAAAAACACTGCATAATAAGACTTACAAGGTGCCTTGCTTAATATTACCTACCCTCTAGCTCTTAATTGTTAATGGATTAGAAGTACTTTTTCTTTCAGTTTTAGTGATTGAGATCATAGTAGGAATGAGAAGAAAGCATGGACAAGACAGTCATCTTCGTTTTCTCTTTTCTCTTTGAAGTTCTCCAACAAGCCCTACTTTAGATTCAAGTTCATGTCCAGACAAAATGTGTATTTATACCACACTTCTACCAAGCTTCAATTTTTAAAAATAAATCCACAGAAACTATTTAGGGAATGAAAATAATTTATCATGCATGTACTTCACAGTAAAATGCACAAAACAGATGGAAGTAAATGGTCCATTTATAAGTTCAGTTCCTGTTAGGAACTGGATCTCATTTATAGATCATCAAATAGCATTATTATACAACAGTTCAGATTGCCAAGGAAAACATCCTGTAAGTGGAATATGTGAAGATAGGTTGAGGAAAGAATTTTTAAAATTACTGGTGAAGCAACTGACTGAATATTATCTTCAAAAAAGTATTTTTTGTGTGCGCTTTACTTCAACTACAGATTTGAACAGCAATATATAATTACATTTCTCCTCTGATTACTGCATAAGAAAGCATAAGAGAAATAGTTGCAGCAGTGAATATCTATTTCATTTTTAATCTAAAAAAATCTTAGATAATCAAGATTTCCTAACTCCTTAGACTCTATCCAGTTGGGCATCTGCTAAGATAATCATTGAGAAATTCAAATAACCTAAACTGCACTTATGTTGCCTATAATAAAGGCAACTTCTGAGATTCACTTTGCTTCCTGGCATGATTGTTCAGCCTATAGCTATCTTAATTTATTATATCTGTCTGAATGTGAAGACTGTGGAGGAACCTGTTATTTAGGGTTTGTCTTTCTAAAATGTATATATTTATAAAAGTGTTTATATACATATACACACACAAACACACAAGTTTATACACACATATCCTCCCTTACAGCTACTAACAAAGTTGTCTTGTAATACCAGAATCTGAAGTTAGATTGCATGGTGATCAATCTTTCAAAGATATATTAGAGAATAACCAAGGTTTTCCTGCAGCTTTCTGAAAGTTGAGCTATGAAGACAGCTATTGAACCTTGGCTGAAATACATTTCTCTTAAAAGTGCAAGAAAGGCAGGACTTACTGTCAAAGACTTCTAACTTTTTATGTGCGTTTTCACTGCAGTGACAGTATTATTTATTTTTCGTGGTGAAATACAGAAACCACAAAAATTGCACTACTGCACATAACTGTCAGTGTGATACCAACTTTTTGTTATGTTTTTTTCTCATAGGAGGTAGAATATCTGGTAAGTCCCATGGAATTGACATGAGATTATAGATTGCCAGAAGCAATCATAAGGAGACAGAAACACTCTTGATGAGCCCCTTATTAATACATAATGTCTATCTCAAGTTTAAGATAAAAAAAACATCAGAGTTTAACCATGCAAACACAGAAAACAAGCACTGCTACCTACCCAAGCTAGATAACTACTCTATCAGCCATTTGTTCTTTTTCTACATTTAGAAGTATTTCTCTCCAGATGGAAAACAAAACAGAAATCCAGGCTCCTATTTGGAGAAGGGGTAAAATCTCAAATGCTCTAGAAGGCCTTATGTTTGCTCAGAACAACAGCCAAGGCAATGTGCATTATTCATAAAACTGGTTTGAGGTGCGGGACTACTCAACCTCTTGATGCATTCTGGACAAGTTACAGTCTCTACATCAGAAGCCTTACCCTGTAACTAACCATGGTAACTAACCATGGTAACTTACCCTGTAACTAACATCTGCTAGGATGTGGAGACGTGCTCCAGGGATGCAAGTGAAAATTAGTGAATTAAATCCATAGATGCTGCGTATTCCAGATACTGAAATATAATTATCAATGGAATTAATTTTAATAGACTTTACTACTAATCTAACAAGCAGGTATCACCAAAACCTCCATCAGGAACACTGCTGATGTAATGTCATGTTGCACTGATGAGCAATTTGTGCACTGGTAATAGAGACAGCTTATGCTTACTGAAATGAGGAATCACATGCTCAAATTTGTACTCGTTTTCCTACTCTCTACCTAGTTAGGTGAAAAGACAGTGCATGTACTCAGCACATGGCAGCAGAGGGTCTGACAAAATAATGTCTGATATGGAAGTGCGTATGAAACAAAAGCATGGAATTGAATGCCAAAATACTGGTACTCATTGACATTCATTGACACTTGCTGAACATTTATGGAGACCAAACAGAGGATGTGAGCACAGTAAGGTGGTGGGTGGTCCATTTCAGCAGTGGTGATGGTCACTTTTGCTGGTACAGATTTTTACGAGCACAGCCTACCGGCTCTTTTTCATCACTAGCAAAAAAACACAGCTAATGGTGGTGACTGTGTTGAAAGATAGTGTTTTGTAGCTGAGAATTTGCCCCATCAAATAGTGTTAGTCCTAGTATCTTCTGTAGCTTCCATGGAAATAAATAGGAGGCATTATTTCTGGAGAGATCAATGCAGGATATTGTATACTACTACTATTTTCACAAGCACATATACAGTCACTGTAAAAAGAGGATACCATAAAACAACTCCATCAACCATTTCTACAAGTTCTACTTCTGTAATTTCTCTTCAGAAGTGCTTTATCAAATGTTGACACTGTTACATTCTATTTGCTGAACAGACGTATCTGGCTTGCGTAGGAAGATAGCAAGAAATCTGTATGCATTTCTTCTGGGGCAAAAACACCCTAGAACACCTGGAAACTCTTTACTCAGGAGTGTTGACTGTTACAAACTACTCATCCGATGATAACATGTTCCTACCCACACAGTTTGTGTTGGGTTTTGGAGCAAAAAATTCTTCTGTTGTGGAACAAGGGTGACCTCTAGTGCTTCCAGTAAGTCAGTTCCAAGTAAAGCTAAACACAACAAGAACAAAAACAGCTACAGAAACTGAGTGCTTGGTAAACTTGGGTTATTGGTATCCACTGAAAACCTAAATCCTCCAAAGGCTCGCTACATTTTCAGAACACAGAATGAGAAAAAGTGCCTACAGGAGAATGAAATCATGGCCTAAGCCTGAAAATTTTCAATTATATCTTCCACAATAGATATGAAAATATTAATTAAAGTTAATTGCAAGCATTCATTAATATACATTCAAAACACTAAAAAATGTATTTGAAGCATTATTGTTTTATTCTATTCCACAGACTTTTTCCCTATGTTTCACATTATTTCTTTTATCATAAATCACAGGCAACTGTCTATCTTCAACCCCGTCACTTCTACTGCTTTGGAATTTACTTATTGAATCTTCAAGGTAAGCTCAAGTGAACCAAAACAGGACAGGGAAAGGTAAATAATGGTCACTTTACACATGCACAATTGTAAGAAACCATTATAAAAAAAAGAAGAGATTCAGTACAGAAATTTCTTCCCCATCCCGTGACAAAGTAAGCAACAGGACTACATGAATGCTTAAAAAATAAATTGCAATCATGTATACAATTTAAATTAGTTTACATAACAAATGAAAAAAACCTGCATACTATGAGGATCTTTACAATTCCAATTTCTTGGACAGGCATTTTTAATCAAAAGCAAGGTAAGTGAAAAGTCACTTTCCAAGAAAACAAATCGATGCTCTAGGGTTCCAGCTCAGTTAAGAATGGACTCCAATCTGGATTATCTAAATAAATCAAAAACATGTATATGCAAAGACATTCTATCAGTCAAAGCAAACATAAATTATCTGTAGCACTTGAGGCTTCCCCTTGCTTCCAAATATAAATTTCAAAACATCAGATTACTCTAGCACTTTCAAGAATATATTTAACTTGAAGTATTTTACTTTACTATTTCACTTCACATCATTTTTTGAGGTTCTCGAGAGTAAAAATTTTGGGAAATGAGCAAAAGCAAATGTGAAAAATATTAGCAAAAAAGATAACACAGAATGTGTCTCCATAAACATTTTGTCAGAAAAACAGAAGTTTGGTCTTAATCATGTGCATTACATTGCCTCATCACATATTATAGAAACAAAAGCCAAGTCTGTAGAGCTTGCCTGTAAGAATATAAAAAAACATTATTTTTTATCCATGATAAATTCAATGTACTTTCACAAACAGACATTAAGTGCTTACCTTGTAAATTCTAGCACATTTAGCAATTCATATCTTTCTTCATGTCCCAACTGAAAAACAAAAGTGAGAATTAATGCAAAAAAATCCAAAGCAGAAGAATCAAAGAAACATCTGGATATGTACCATGATGCAGTTATTCAATAATTACTTAATATGGTAACAGTAAATACACCACACTGTAATGTTTCCCCAAAGAACTTACAGATTCTATAATTACTGAGTCAGGTGTCCTTCCAGTGAATACAAAACGAAGATGTCTTGCTGCTCTGACCAATGCTCCCTCATCTGCAACAAATCAATTAGTAGTACTTTTTTTTACAAGATGTACGAAGAAACTGTTAGTTTGCCCCATGATTTAATGGATGCTTTTGATTTTGCCTTGCTTTGTTCTCTCCTGAATTCAAAAACATCCTATGAACGAGAGTTGGCTTGAACTAGACCTTTTGTGCTATACTTTTTTTCTCACTCTCAAAGGATCTTATCATTACTTTTATCCCATTGAAAACATATTTTGTTCATTTTTGATTACAAACTCTTTGTTCTAAATTCCATGGTTACCAAGTACAGATAAGTTCACAAGCAAGGACATACATTTATGTTCCAGTTAGATTTTCATTTGCATTTGAGTACTTCCATCAGACATTCACAGCTATCTAATGACAGCTTAGGAACAGAACATGGTTAATTACTCTTTGCCCTTACATAACCTGTATATATTTTCTAAAGCAAATCAGAAAAGTCCGAGTTCCTATTTTTTAGACAAAACAGTCTAGCTGATATCTACTCTTTTTTTGAGAGATGCTTTCTTCTTTAATTTCAGAAGATAGTTCAAAATAATTAATTTTAAACAAAATTTGCATGTTGAGTATGCATGTTTATGTTCTCCGAATTACTCGACTCTCACCTGGAGATGCTGCTTGATATATAATCTTATCACCTTCTCTTTCTGGAACAGCTGTATGACACACTGCCATCATTGTCAAAAACTCACATATTATAGGTGCAGTTGGCTAAAAAAATGGCAGAAAATGTTTAACAATTTAATCGATAAGTTACTAAAGTGTAATAATAGATACGGACAAACAATAACCAATAAAATGCTAATGGAAGATTGCTCTTTTGAACATCAACAGATAAGCCCACCAGACATTATCTGTCTGTGTATCAACTTCAGCGTGCAGAATAACTTCTCATCTGTGCACTTCAATATAAGGTATGCAGATAGAGTTTATATAATTTACAATCATAGAATCAAAAATGAAAAACCATAAACACAGAGAAATTCAAACAAGTATTTTATAGGGAAGGCAAGTACAAATGATGAAAATGCAAAATGATTTCACAGCTAATTCTTATTATTGATGAAAGTCTCTTTCGATTTGAGCTGTTTTATTAAAACTATTCCTTCCTGCATTGCTTTTGTCTAACACCTTATTTATTAACATAGTTTTTAAGAACCTTTGGAAAGACTTAGCAACCAAACTTGAAAGTCATGTACAAAATAACATAAGGTCAGGCAGCTAGTTCTTAAAGGAAGACACTAAGATAAGCGTCTCAAACACTTCAAAATCTGCAAAGCTGAAAGAACTTCAGATAGTTTAACCAAAGGAGGGAAAAATAATATATCTAAGCAGAAATAACTGACTGTTTTTGACTAATAAGAACTAAAAAATATATTAGTACAGATTAAGTTCGCAAAATGAATCAAATTATTCCAAAGGAAACTATTATATTTCCCTTAAATAAGCTCAAAGTAGTCACCTCAATCAAGGTTTTTTGTAGCATATATTCAGTATCTGTGATCAGTGTTAGAATGTCAACCATAAAGATGAAATTAATTACCTTATAAAATAATATCTGAAAACGTAACAATTCCACACTGAAACACTAATGAGTAACTTACAGAACTCAAACAAATTCAAAGCTCTTGCGAGCAGGTTTGTCCCTCTTACATCGCAAACCCCCGGATTCTTTTGGGCATCTTTAAAGGTCTATGCTAGAGATTCTTTTCCAAATCGCTTACAAATGCATTTAACATACATTGTTGAAATTAGATTGAAATTTTAAAGGATCTTGCCCATATTATATACACTTAATACTATATATCTACCAGAAAACAGATTTATTTCCAGGTGGATCTAATCAACATGCATCAGCAATGAATAATGTAAAGATATTCATGAGGGCATGCTGATTCTGTATGAGAACATATTTTCCCTCACAGGAAAACACTTTGACTTGCTAAAAGCAACACTGAAAATTCAGAAAACAATGGTAATTGTTTCTGTATTACTTACATGATTATTTTGAAGATTCTCCAGTAGTGATGAGTCACTAAACATTTTTTCATCTCCATTTTGTGAGCCCTGCCTAGAAATAATTTGGTAAAAGAGAGATCACCATTAGCATATACTTAATAGTTCATATGCAAATAATCCACATTTCCGTGCTCAGGTCAAACATAAATTTTGGTTTAAGATGTTACAAGAATGGCTGTAGTTGCACACAGTGCAAAAATGAAGGAAATAGGAATTTGTTAGAGGTCAAAGTTTACCTAATTTTAATAAACCTTATACAAATACACTTGAATTCAGGTATGTTTTTCTGCTCACTTCAGATAACACAGGATAAAGTTTTCAAAGCAAGACTGGCTTCTTGTTATCTGATTTCCACTGAAGGATATTATTGGAAGGACTTAGAACAACACAAACCTGGAAGAACTTAAATTTCTTAAGAAATTAACAGCTTTGTCATAGGTTTGCAATGTGTTTGCAGAAAAGAAAGTCATACCTGAAGGAGTAAGCAAACTGAGTTCAGACATTATGGAACAAACATTCTGTTTGTTTCCCATTACTCATGACTAAAATAACCTAATTTGATGTATAAAGGACACAGAAGTAAGGATGAAGTAGCAAAGGATTGAAGAGACACTAGATGGAGATAGTCCTTGAGAAACAGTCTTACACTAACACTCACACTGCAGAGGTCTTCTGGCTGAAGTAGCTACTTCTAGAAAGACTTCTTATCAACTGATTGCCGAGCATCAAGACAATCCAGTTGAGTTTGAATCTCAGTGACATAGAACAGTTCTGAAAAATGAACCCTCTCAGAGGAAAATATTATTTTCATTTATTTTGGATTTTGCCCTGTAGTGATTTTCATTGAAGGATAAGCCATGTTTCTCTCAAAGGCAGTCTAAAGATCTTTTATGAAAACCAAAAAAGTGAGCTGTTATACTCTTGAATTACCCTGAAGGAATGTAAAACGACAGCATTCTGCACAACTACTCAAGGACAGATTTTTCCAAAAGCCTGTTATGAAGTGAGAAATTCAAAGCATCCTCAATCACCAAGATTTATATTTATTTACTTTAAATGCAGAGCAGCTGGGCAAAATGTTAGCAGTTTCATACTCATTCAATTTATTTATAAATTTCAAGCTTTGATTGCTTAAAATTTTTAGACAAAGACTTTAGGATATTTTTCAGATTCTCAGTACTAAATCTGAAAAATACTTGTAGGTATAACTGTTTTCCAGGTAGACAGAAAATATCTATAATTAAAAAAAAAATATTTAAAAGCTTTGGAATTTGGTACATTATTTAAGTCTAGAAATATTAGTCAAGCAGATGTTTTTAATTACAATGGACCTCCACACAAAAAATAATTTTCCTGAGTATTTTAATTTGTGAATGTTTACATGTCATTGATAGCTTATAAAGTACTGCTTTTTTTTTTTTTTTTTTTTTTTTAAACACAGTTTTGTGCGACATATCTTGCCATGACTTTCAAGAAATACAATAAGAATAGTTTAAAGATTGTAAGTGACTTTTGTCCTCAATTTACCTCAGTTTATTTTGAAAAAGACTAAATATTTAGTTTAAGAAAGAACAATGAAGGAAATGTAAGGCATCATGCAGTAGGCAACAGCAAGGAAGTCAGGACTCAGTCTTTCCTGAGGGCCCCTGTTAAGAGATTGTCTCCTCAAAGGAATCTGTTATCTCAGTTTCAATAAAGAATTAAGTAAAGGTAATTCTCTAAAACCATTTGCAGGAAGCAAAATACTAACACTAACTTATGTATTTTTTACTCTCAAACATTATTTTTCGAACACCTTAGGGATTATTACTAAACCGTTACGGGATAACAGGAGAAAAGTGTGACCAAAGTTACCACAGTACCATGTACCTTTATAAAAAACAAAGTTTTCTTCAGTATACAATTTGGATTTGTACACGATTACCGGTAGGATACCTCAGTGACCCTATCATCAATTCTATCCCAGAGTACAGATCTGAATGCCAGAGAATTCTGATTCATAAATTGGTGTAAGACTTGGTTGGGCTGCATCAACTCGAAGATAAAATGACTTTTGAGTAAAATATTCTGCAATAAACCATCTTTCTGAAAAAATCTCACTGTTTTTAAGCTTCAGTTTTAAACAAATACCACATACTGCTTGATTCTGAGAGCTTACCAATCATCTGAAGGAACACTATAGTCCTCAAGTTCAGGGCAATCGCTGCACATGAAGCAAGAGAGGAAGAGAGGAAGAGAAATAGGGATAGGAAAAAGAATCACAAAGGCTAAAAAAAAATTGGATTATGTATAAAAGAGAAGGCAGTTAATGAAATTAAATGACTAAAAAAAAGTAAAGCTATCTCAACTGAGTATTTTGCTAGTGCCTAGAAAATAACACTGCAAAAAATATTATATTTCTCTTGAGGCTTTATAAAGCAAAAGCTATCATTTTCATCCATGCCTGCTTACTAACTTCTACCAGTTGAACAAATTACAATTCTTACTTTATATTTCAATATACACTTGAACAATGTTTTGATTGTAAACAAAAGGTAAGTTTTAATTTTTGTTATGATAACAAAACTTATCTGAGTTCAAATATTCAAAAGCATAGCTAGCCATTGCAAATCAGGATTCAACCCGGTGATGACAATTAGCTGACTTAGCTGATGTAGAGTTGTGTGTGTGTGCACAAGTAGATATATAAAATATCAGGTTTAGAATGGCACTTTATTACAGGTCTTAAATTAAAAAAACCAACACAGTATGGTTAAGGATCAAAGTTTCTCAAAACAGAAAGTTGACATTAGAATCCTCAAAACTATCCAAATGATAAGGCCACACTGCTGGCTTAAGCCATAAACTTAATCTCACAGACTTGCTTGGTCTCTGCCCACTTTCAGAGGTATCTAATTACCAGCTTACTGATCAGAATAGGTCCAGCATCTCTCATACTGGGCAGCCATGCTGTCACTTAAAATATAAATGCTTCTGCTCTATTCACTGCTCTAAAGAATTTAATTTAAGTGAACCACCTTGGAAGTTTGAAGCCTTTGCAAACTCAGTTGAAGAATTTGTCTGCAACTACTGACAAATAAGTAACAAAATTCTTTGTTTGCATTTATCTGGAGACATCTCGTAATAGCAACACCAATACCATGAGTTATGTAATTTAAACAATCCTCATAAAAGCTATCTAGATTATGTGGTAGAGCACGGCAGTTCAAGTTCTTGTTCATCCTCTATTATCTAGTGAAAAAGCATGCAAAATATGAAGCGTGAACCAATAAGGAAGTCCATGCACTTTCGCAAATTTGAAGGCAGACTTTGCTTTTTAAAAAAATAAAAGAAACAAACACTGAACAGACACAGTAACAGAAAAAAAAACAAGTATACTGAAGTTGTGTTACAGCAGTAAGGATAGCTATACTTTTGCTTGCAGAAAGAAGCATTCATGCTTCCTATTAATAGCATATCATAGTCACAAACAAATTGATCCCTAGTTGCATCTACTGCTTCTACTACTAAGTTTATTATGGTGTTAATTTAACTGTGTTCAAATATGCATAGGCAGAGGAAAGGCATACAAGTAAACAAATAAATATATAATAAAATACCTACCCATAAGCAACTCCTGCCACAGTACATTTTTTAAATTGCATGACGTTACATGTCAGAGTACCCGTTTTGTCAGAAAATATGTATTTGACCTAAATGAACGATGAAATCATTATGTATTAATTTTGGCAGTTACTTACATATCTAGTACAATTTCGGCTATAAACACAATAAAGTAAATATATTTTTACCACTTCCACAATCTTCAAAGCATCACAGAACAATCTAAGTTGGAACGGACTTTAAGGTCCTTCCAAGCTCCTGCTGTAGGCAGGGCTGTCACCCACCAGATCAGATTGCCCAGGGCCCTATCCAACCTGGCTTGAAAGCCTCCAGGGATGGGGCATCCACAGCTTCTTTGGTCAGCCTATTAAAGTGCAACACCACTCTGAGTGAAGAATGTCTTCTGTGTATCTAATCTAAATCTATCCTCTTTTAGTTTAAATTACCCCATGTCTATCACTATACTCCCTGACAAAGAATCCTCCCCACCCTTTATGTACTGGAAGAATGCTACAGGGCCCAAATACAGTTCTACAAAGTCAGACTTTCAGAAAACAAAGAACACACAACTGAGCTCCTGTGAAAAGTGACTGCTTTTACAATATTAAGAGGGAACTCCAAAACAAAATGCAGAATTTATCTGTCAAAATTAAGAAAATGTAAAATAAAGAAAAACATGTAAAATAAAAAGACTAAGGCACATATGTTTTTAAAAATAAGCTCTCACTTATTTAAGTATTTAAATTTTAAAACACTGACTTAGAGCCAGTAATCTTCTCTACCTGCCCAAGTTCTTCATTGAGATTGGAAGTCCGAGCCATTGCAGCAGTGTCAGTAGGTTCATAATGCATGTCTATGTCCTATAAGAAAAATGAAAGCATATGTTTCAAAATTATCTTTCCAGAACTTGTTATGAAAAAAAAAATCTGGCACCTAATCAGCAAAGAAAAACACAGAAGAACAGATTGAACACAAAGACAAGGGATCTACTTCTATTTATTTCAACATGGGAGCCACAAACACAATCGGATCACTTCCAAATATCTCCAAAAGAAATTAGATTTTCCGTTTTAACATCAGAATCTGTAAAGACTAAGATTTCACAGAATACTGGAGGTAATCTGAGTACTAGCAAAACTGTCAAACCCGTGCACCTAAAACAGATTTGTCAACTGACAGAAACATTGTAACATTTAGCGTGAAGCAAGTCTTAACTATCCACATTGTTCCCACTTCTGAATACTACCATAAACATTCTTTAAACTGAAGACAGAGATAAATTTAAGAGTACACAATAACTTCAGGATACATTGTTAGTTGTTTTCTTTCTTCTCTCTCATCTTTAGTCCTTCCTCCCCCCCCCCAGAACAAACCCAAACAAAAACAGTTCCATTTAAAATACAGTAAAAATAAGAAAACACTGCTAAAGTATGGCAGTATAGTGCTACAAATTGCAAATAGCCAAATTCTCTATACTGATACCTCATGTACACACAGAAGGATTATCCTTAAGATAGAAAACATCCAGAGTTCCCTATTAACATAAATGTATTTAAGGACAACAAATCCCTCATTATGTGAAATAGAGGGAACAGAAGTTACAACTGTCTCCTTTAGGATTCGGTCCATAGACACTAGTTGCCAATCTGCACATTCAATGTAGGTTAGCGTTTACTGAATAGGGAACACAAAGGAACAAATTCCTCCCATTCTTTTATAATTTGCATGATAATTTTGCCATAGCACAAAAGAAATAAAAAATAGCTGACTACTCACAAAAATATTTAACTTTTACAATGAAGTATGATTTTGCTAATGAGTGTTTTATCTCTGTCTACCTGACCTCACACAAATCTACTTCATGCCCTTGACCAAGGAATCAGATTAAAGAGTTGACAATGGCATGAGTAACTCACATTTAGATAAAACTGAAAAACTGAAGGCATGATAAAAAAAAATCCCTTATGTGGCTTTAAGAAAAAAGAAAAACACAAAAAACCCCCAAACCAATATTTGTCCCACAAGCAACCCAACTGATAACCCTTTTTCCAATGGCAGAAAAAGAAACTATTCAAATGTTCTTTATACACTCTGCAAAAGATAATAATAATAGACAATGGTTTTGTTCCAAAACCTTTAAAGTGCAGTGGCAGAAAAAGCAAAAAGGCTACATATAGGGAAAAAACAAAGAAATATGGGCTAAGCTCAGAAAAAATACAAAAAATGAAACAATACAAAACTCCTCTAGGATGCAAGATACTTTCTTCTGATCATTCTGGCTGAAGATCTGATGCCTCAGAATTAATGAGAAAGAACAAAGCACTGTAAAAAGTGCTACAAATAGCTTGTATGAGTATAAAATGGTAAATAAAGCCACATATAATTACCTTCTTGGGTCTCAGTAATAATAAACAGCACTCTTAAGTATTAACCATAAGAAAATAAACCTATATATAAACAAGTGTTTAACTTAATTGCAAGCCACTCAGTTTTAGACATTAATATTTATTATAGAAATATTTACCCAATTTATGAAATATGCTTGGATAAATTTAACAACTTCAAGTGTAACCAACAAACTGATCGGAATTAGATTATTGAAGAGAATGATAAAAGTCAAGAAGTTCAAACCAAAGTTGCTTGCTCCACCATCTGCCAAAAAAAAACAAAGCAAAACAGAAAACATTTAAGACCATATTCCAAAGCAAGCGTATGTAGTGTATTCAGAACACTGCTGATTTTATAATTCTGTCTAAAAAGACACCTAAGAATTTATAAATTACTGCCTTAAAAACTGTATGCAGCAAGAAAGGTTCCTTAAACAACATGAACCATCAGCAATTTAAGAGTACTGAGGCTACATTCCACAACAATGAATAACAAGATCAACGTGTTAGCCCATGTTAAGAAGTACTCTTGTGTTAGCCTATATAGGCTTATGACCATCGCTTGGAAATTATCTGGTTTTAGCAGTGCCTACAGCCTGATATTAAGAGAGAAGAAAAGAGAAATAGAGCAAGGATCAGAAACTGAGTTTCACGGTGGCTAAGATTTTTCAAAATTGTGGCCTGTTGCAGAAGGCTGCCCTCCAGAAAATCAGCAGCTCTCCCAGTTGAAAATCCCGGTGATCCTGTTCCAGTCCTTTTATTGTACACACTGCCCCCTTGCATTTCTACTGCATGCGATTCAGAATTGCTTCAAAAACACATGCTGTTTTATTTTTTTCTGTTGTGGCCAAAAAAAAAAAATAATAATCCATCAGCGTGCTCAGGGTCATCAATTGGTGTCCTCTACAAACATCCTTCTGACAGATACAGGGCTGTGGCTGTGGGCCTATGCCATGTGGACCTGCTTGTTACAGTAAAATCCAAGTTTTGGATACTTTCATTAATACCAATTCTAGCATCAAACGAAGTACAAATTTGGAAGATCATGGAGGTAACACTTATTCTAACTAATGGCAATCTAGATTAAATTAAGTTTGATACATACTGCTGGTTAAAAATAAAAATTGTGCCAACAAAATTCCAAATAGCATTCCTCAGAACAGAAAAGACGGAACTCTAATGAGAATGTAATTAAATAAACAACAGAGTTCAATAAAGGTAAAGAGGAATAAATTGCTTCTTACGTATTAGCAGTACCTTGATCAAGAACAATTCTAAAGGGCATAACTTAAAGAAACATCAGAAGTCCATTTAATCATGTAAGGAAGTGGACTGATAAGGACAATCACTTGAAAATCCCATCAAATCTCAGTGGCCACTATTTCAAGTTTTCTTATTTTCAGGAATAAAAAAATAAAAGCTTCAGAACTGCTTCCACAGACTTCCATAATTATTTATTTGACTACTATATTGGGCAGCTTTGTATTCAAGACTCGGTGTCAGAAGAAGAAAATTTAGTTCTAGCCTGACTATCTAAGTAAAGAAGTCTCTAGACCCTCTGTAAGAAATTCTGAAATCATCACTAACAGATCATAAAGTATATTTATGAAGACTTCCTTTAGATCTAGTTCCCTCATTGAGAATTGAATTTTGTCAATTCATTGTATCCTGCTGGAAGACCTGCATAACATTCCATTGCCTTTGTCAGCTGAGAGTAGAGCTGTCCACATATTAGGTAAGAGGAGATCTTTCTGCCTGTTAATTTCAAGAGCAGCCATCTTGGATCTGACACTGGCAGTCAGTGTTTACTTAGATTCTTGAACAGTGTAACTATAAAGCTGCAGCATCATTTTCTGTTACAGTTTAAAAGTTTGGGGAAGAAACCGCACCTTTACATGTAACTCATCAGCAATAACTGACAATTTCTTCATTTTCAATGAATTTGACTATGTCAGCAGAATACAGCAAGTATTGGTATTTTTTCCATTTTCATTCCAATAATGTGGTGATGTCAATTTTCTGAATAGCCTATTCAATTACTGCTAGAAGGATACATTTTTCAGCATACAGGAGGCATTTGCTGAACAACACGTTAACAAACATTCTTCTGTACGAATTATTCCCTCTGCACTCTGTAGACTACATCCCTTCTATGTGAAAAGAAAAAAGGATAACACTGGCAGAGCACTTGGCAAGGCAAAGTCTGCTGTGTTCCTTCCCTCAGTTGCAGAGATGCAGAAGCTTCAACAACAAAACTTCCCTTTCTGAATTTAGCAACAACTCACGTTGCACAGAAAGGCAAAACTTACACCAGCTGTGATAAACCTAGACTAACAACTTCAATAAACAACCAATAAAGGACTGATTGAAGGATGGCAATCATCCCCCTTTCCAAAAATGAAAGGCTTCAGGACAAATGAACAGTAAAATAGTAATACATTACTTTACAGCTTACAATTTAGATCAAGATACCAATCTCTTTCAGTATGCCTCCGATTCCATACAGCTGAACCAATAGAGCAGATCAAAGACATGGCAATAAGGATGCAGAAAAGAATCAAAATCTGAATGTTGGTAATACGTTCCACATTAGACATTTTAAGAGGTGGACTTGTTGAATTCTGCAAAAGACAAAAAAACACAGCGGTTAATAAAAGATGTCCAGAGATCTAATTTCCAAATTACAGGCTATTGAATTCTGTTCTAAATATTCTCCCAGGTATCATCATGATAAATGGCATAAATGTTTCACTCAAAGAAAAAGAAAGCAAAACCACAAAAACCTTAAACACCAACAGCTAACCATAAACATTTAAAACATGATTTAAATATATGTGCATACATCCTATCAGAGCTATAGAAAGTTACTGTTAATTAATACAATCAAATTTATTTTAAAATAACTCCTTTACAGATCAGAAAAGCAATAAATGAGACATGCATATCCGAACGGAAAGCATTCTTTTGTTGAACACACACAATTCAATTTTGATATTTCAAACACCACCAGGAAAATAACTTCATAGCTTAAGAATGGTTCTCCTCCCTCCTTATTTTGTAAAGCAAGTTTCACTTCATTTTCTGACAACAATGCTTACCTTTGTATTTGAAAGAAAGCTCCACAAGAGGACAGTTTTAGGAGCAGTCAAAAACAAAAGAAGATGAACAGGCAAACTATAACGACCCAACTTACTAATAAAACAGTTTTCAAAAACACAAGTCAAAAACAGAATCAAAAAACATTCTCACTAGGGAAAAACTACTCTTTCTAAGGAATCGATAACTGTCTATCAGCTCTAAAAGCAATTATTTCCTTCAAGCCAAACCAATAAATACGCGCTATTACTGACATTTGAACTATTATACTTAATCTAGTCACGTTTTCTTAAACTTCCTTTTTTTGTGTGTGTCCTATTACAAAGGCATATTAAAAGGTAACAAAGTAATTGTAAGAAAATTAAAAAAAAAAAAAAAAAGTCCAAGCGACAAACCTGCATAAGTTTTGTGTCATGTCCTGTATAGACAACGATCCCATGAACCCACTGAGTATTTCTCAACTGAGCTCCTCGTAGAAGAATCTGGTCAGATCCCAATGGAACAGTACTAGAAGAAAGCATTTTTGTATTTTAGCAACAGAACAGTTAATGCCAATGCAATAAGGATAATGCAAAATTCATAATTCGTTGTTAAGACTTATTAGCTCATATCTCCAAATTTAGATGATTATAGGAAATACACCAGAACCTCATTTTCAGAGTTAAAGTATCTGGTGTGCTGACTTAGAGAAAATCTGACAGTTTAAAGCAAGTCAAATATGGAGCCCAAATATTTAAATATTTTACAACAGTACTACTTATCACTTAATTTTGATTATTAACATTAAAGATACAGTACTGCATAGTAAACATGCTGAAACCAAGAAATGTTAATTTTCCTTTCAGATTACAAAGTTTTGTCTAATTGTACACTGAAACATGACAACTCTTACAAAATTGATTTTTCCAAAGCACTTCTCAAATCAAATAGTCTTCTCTGAACTCTCAGCTTAATCTTTTCTTCCAGCTGTATGAGGAATGCATAAAATGCTGGAAACGTTCAACTTTCTTAAATTTAGACAACTGACTTAGTCAACATACTGTACCTTAGTATCCTTTTTTATAAAATAAAATTTAGATAATTATCTGTGCTCCTCATACAGTTAATTTCCTGGTTTTGCACTTATGCCTATTTAAATAATAGTTATCAGATTTGCCAATAGCGCCTTAGTGCTTGCCATTCTCACTTAAATCTATCATCTCCACAGCTGTTGAAAATCAACATGTTAGGATAACATAGAAGTTGCTTGTCCATAGCAGTTATACCCTCTGATACATAAGCTATAAATAGCTCGAGCAAGCCATCATATTTAGTAATATTTCTGGCAGTTTCAGAAAGTTTCATGTATTAATTTCTTCTAAACCCTCATTTCCCCTTCTATCCTCTCATAAAAAAGCTTTTAAAGTGAAAAGTCTGCAAGTAAAGAAGAAACACATTCTTCCTCCCCTAAAAGTAACAGTAGCAATTTTTTTTGTAGCAGAGTTTTTTTGGAATAAGTTCACACAGAAACTAGGAAAAAAAAAAATCTGTTCTGAAAAAAATGTTTAAATATTTTTCCATACAGAACAGGCAAATAACAAACACTACATAGCCATGATTTACAGCCTAGGATACTACCAAAAAACAAAAAAGAACCTAAAAATATACAACATACTGAAATTGACATGAATTGTAACATTTTCATTTTGTGGTAAAATAAGAAGAAAATTATTTTCCTTTCAAGTATGAAAGGAACTGAAGGGCTCTGAAGTAGCCAATAATCATTAAGAAGGACTCATTTTATCATAAAATATTATTTCCTTTTTTTAAAATGCATTCCTTTCTCTAAAGCATATAAAAGTTATGAAATGAATTGTCATTTCAAGATTAACCAGATTTTTCAAGAATTTCACCTATAAAAGATGAAAGCAATAGCCTTTTTGATAATATGCCCACGTTACCCCAGATAAACTGGAAACTTTGAAAATTGTAGACCTTATCTGGAATGCCAAGACTTTCTGTCCCTTCTACTAACATGAAGAGGAAATGAAACTCTAGTACGGCAATAGAAAAAACTTTGTACCCCTACTTGTACTCCTTAAAGTATCAGGTTGAGTTCTAAGACTCCTGCAACTTCTTAACCCTCCTGCTTATTTCCCCTCTTAAAAACTCTGACGAGTATGCAGTGAAGTCCCTTTTACGGCAGTAGACATTCCCCCCCCCCCCCTTCCCATCCATCAAACAGCTCTCAAAAGTCTATGGATACCCCTCCAATCTGGAACAGGATTTTATCCTCAAGGGCCTGTTACTAGGAAGACTATTAAAACAGAATGGTGTTTGCAGCCTGTGGGAGTGTTCTCCAGCAGTACTGCTGCACAGATGAAGACAAACAACAGAACAACAGGGGACAGACAGAAAAGTCCCTATCTGCCAGGTGTCATGCTACTTTCAACTCTGTGACCGTACCTCATTCTGTAACAGTGCTATCACTGGACAGAGAACTCAAGTCTCTTGGCCTCAACCTTCTCAAAATTGCCCCAGCTCTTGATTCCTATTGCATACTGCACGACTAATGGTTTCTAGCAATATATGTTGCTTATATTCAGTTAAGAATGTTCTTAATGAGGAAATATCCCTTCAGCATACTACCCAGCTAAGGCTGTCACTGGCATATTAATTTCAAGGACATGTTTGAAACCTTACATAGCAAGGTGATTTTCTTTTTATCAAGCATTTATTCACAATTTCCTCAAGATGGTCTTCAGGAAAATGTTTACTTCAGGTCTGGACAGTAAATGTCTACCATTGTAACTTGCCAATCTATTTTCCTCTGAGGTATTTATCATAACTTCAAATTTATCCAGGCTAAAGAACTTTTCTCCTTTCTCCAGCTAATAGTCTTCAACTCCTAAAAATCATACACATTTATGTGCATTAAAAAAGAGCTGCACCTTTCACATACAGAGTTAACACTCAAAAACTGAGGATACAATGAAAATATTTTTGACTTTAAAAGAATCTACAGATCTAGCAAAAAGATTAGTTGTAATGGAGTTCTACTTTCTTGAATATTAAAAATCCAAAAAAGAACCACTGCCTTTTTTACAGCTGCTCTCCCAGGAAATGAAGAGGAAAAGATTGAAAAGACCACCCAGATACAACATTTACGGACCACAGCATTCTTGTACTCCAGTGAGTTTATAAAAGGAAAGAAGAAATAAAAGGGAGAAGTGTCCATTACTCCTTTTCCTTTGCTTTTCCAAAAATGTCAAGATAGTGGATACAGTGAAAAATCTAATTGTGGGATCTTAAACAACTAGATGAATGCTAGTTAGATTAATCTGTGTTACAGATAATATGGGCAGAAAGAGAACTCATCTTTGATTTTTTCTGGTTGGAAATTAGGTCAGGATCCAAAAAAAGTTACTTACCTGCAATTCTTTTTCACTGAAGGTAAATATTATATTAGAACCACACTTTTGGAACTATCCTACTGAACAGTAAATATATGTAAATGTTCCCAGACTGAATTTCTCAAATGACAATTTGCTTGACCAGCAGATGGCATGCTCCTACACATTCTCGAGGCACACCAGCCATCACCACATTTAATATTTCTTTTTTACTCAAATTTTAAAATTAAATAATTCAGTTAAGCAGAAAAGTGTTTTCTCCCTAGCCAGGGAGGAAGGAAGGATGTGTGGATCTAGTATAACTATTACCTTCAGAGAAGAATTACAGGTAAATGTTTTTCTCTTCTTAACGACAAGTACAGTGGAATTATAATAGATCCACACTCTTGCGACTGAAAACTCCCGGAATGCATCTGTAAGAAATCAGTAAATAAAAATGGAATACAAAAAAGGTATTTAAGAATTAGTTAGTAGTATATATTATCAGTCTAGAAACACAAACATGGATAACAATGCACATGGAGAAATAAAATCCTAACAAATTAAAAAAAAAATACAATGTAAATCTTCAGGAATGAAGCACTAAACAGTTCTCAATCTAATACTAAATTTTAAACTCCTAATATATCAATTTAGCTTTGAAACTACGAAGACTCCAAATACCTATTGTGTAAACACTTAAAATTACTAAGAATTTAAGTAGCTTTATAAGCACATATGCTGTAATTGCACTGAGGCTGTCCATTTTTAAAGAAACACTTTCAGTGAGCTAAGGTATTAAATGTCTTTAGGCTACTTAATTAAGAGAATTTGAAGTACATAGTAATGGATTCAGTTCCTCTAACAATAGCAAAAAAACAACAAGATAATAAAAGAAGAAACAAAAAATCCTGCAAAAACAACAACAAAATCATAAAAGAAATTTCTTACGTACAGATTCTATAATACATAATTAATAGACAAGGAATGAGATCCTTACAAAATGAGTTACGTAATAGCTACAAATCCCCAAAATTTTAGAATTTGGCTCATACACCCTTCTATTATTAATAGCTATTGACTTCTGAAGATCAGCTAGTATTAAAACTCAATCTGCAGACATCAGAAGATTTTACAACTGCAATTTTCTGAAGAATAAAGAGTAATAAAGAATATATCAGAAATTTTATTTTTTTATTATTATTATTTTTTTTTTACCTCTCTGGACTATAGAATGAAGACCTTACTAATTGTATTTGGAGTAGTTCAACAATATGCACTTATTTACTACTGTACTTATGTACTTATTGAAACTACCAAGATCTTTCTCCTTGGATTTACGTACCCATGCCCATCCAGTCTGATGTTTCCAACAAAGTCATACAGATGTCGGTTTGGGCTCTCACATTCAATTCTGCCTGAAAGTCTCATCAAGCTTTCTATGTCTTTTATATCTGATGTTAGGGGCAAACCCTGTAAAAAAAAGTTTGTTACCACATTTAAAATTACTTTCCAATTTACCATTCTGCATATTTCAAATCTGACAGTGCGAGACATGAAAAGCCAATATTCCTGTGGGAATAAAACAGGACCACTACATTTTACAGTGAGTAAAAGTACCCTGGTATTGTAAAATATCATGATGAAGACAGGCTCATAGATAATCATGTAATTCAGCAATAATGTCCGTGCAAAACACTGCACACTCAGTTAAAAACTGCCATTCTCTATCTGCCCCTCAAGGACAATACAGCACTAGCAGCATCTTTCTGCAGTGCTTTTGTCTCCATTATCCTCTAAAAATAAACATACCTGAACAACAAATCCATTCCACTTGTTCACTCACTCACAAGAAACCCCCTGAAGTGCAAGAAATAGCTTAAGGTTTAAACATTTATTCCCTCCATTTAATGAAGGGAACAAAAACATTAATGAGATAGCAATAACCCATGGCTTTTTATTCAAAATAATTAAATTTCACAGCCTTCTAAAAGGAGCACCTAAAATGTTTTATAAGCAGTAATAGACTAAAAATAACATTGGAAATATTCTCAAAAATGAAATTCCTACCTGTCGAATTTTTAAGTTTGTCTCACCATCTAAGTTAGATGTTTCAATGTAGCACATAGCTTGTGGTTCACTATTGAGAAAAGAAAAATCCTTAATTTTATAATTGCAATGTCAAAATCCATGAATTTCCTTTAATTTTCTAATATCTGCTTAGCCAATCAGCTTTTTTTCTTTTTTTTCTTTCCTTATCAAATTTTGAGAACTAAAATAATACGCAGTTAAATCTGTGAAATTACCAACAGTACTTCACATTGTCAGAAAAGTTTGCCAGAAGTTACCTTCTCAGATGAAACTCTGCTAAAAATGCAGTATAATTTTATTATTAAGTTTTTACAAGAAATTATATGTAGGCACAAACACAATATAATTGTAGTGCTTTCTGACACAGGCAGTGGTAATTTAAAGATGAAAGATTTTTCCAAAGTGTTCTCTTCCATTTACATCCATATTATAGACTCTTAATCCAATTTTAAAACATTTTTTAAAAATGCCAGTTTTTTTAAGGTCTATCCAGAAAAATCACAGCTTTCATATTTTATCTCTTTGAGATACACTGATACATGGCTTATGTTTTACACTTTTTTCAATACAATTTGTTATGTTTAAAACATAAGCAGTGATTTTGTATCTTGTACAACACCTCTAGATTTGAATAATACACAACCATTATGGAGGTGTTAATAAGGCAAACAGAAAGAAGGATAAAATGACTTTTCTGCAAACAGAACAAGAGGTAAAACAGATCAAGATTTCTGAATAACTCCACTCAGCTTCCATCTTCTGCATATGAGGACAGAGCACTTACTATTTATATCTGTGATAAATTAAGATCCTGTAAAGGACCAGTAGAGCCATAAGACAAACAACAACAAAACAAACAAACAAAAAAAAACCCTTACAACTTAGAAGAATTAACACTTACTCTCTATACCACTTTGAAGCTAACGTTTCTCCTTCTTTCTAGCATGGAATTCAAGAGTCAAGAGCTTTTTTTGATATTTTGAATTATACAATTATAGCTACTGGTAAGTCACAACTTTATTCTGCTATCATTCTAAAACTACAGAGGTCACTGTAGCATATCTTTGTGAAGCAAAAACATTAAAATGTACTAAATTATTGTCATAAAGTCTTGTCAGGAGAGTATTTTCTTCTTAGCAAACTTTTCTAAAAATGTAAATAACTTCTGTCTAGATTGTTTGGCTCAAATCACCTGTGTAAAACGCTACTACAATCCTAGCATTCTAATTAGTTAATATTAAAAAAAAAAAAAAAAACACCCAAACAATATTTTTGTGAAGCACTTTTAAGAAAGGCTAGGGCAGCAAAGACATTTCCAGTAAAACACATGCTTAATTGTAATTACTTTAGCAGATAAGCAGTGACCTCCAAAGTAAATGAATTACAGCTGGATCAAGGCAGGCCCATTGATTTAGTGAAAAAAAAAAAAACAAAAAAAAAAAAGTTCAGTAACAGTGCAGACAATAGCATAAAGCTGACATGTCTTGGAAACATGCATTTTGTCACAGTACACAAGAACAGTGCTGCTTTTGCCACTGCATGCAGCAGAGAATGCGCGACATTCAAATTTGTGCAGAGGGTCCTCTACCAGTCCTACCAATAATAATCCATATTCTTCACTGAAAGTATGACTTGGTGTTTTATTCTGTGTTTATTTAATGACAACTTTTCTAATAAGATTTCACGAGGATAGTGCAAAATCTTAAAAAGAAGGTCCGGAACAAGTTCTTGCTTGTTGGAGTATCATCATCTATTTACACTTTAAAGGATCTGCACTTACATCAACTGTACCTTTTCTAATTTTATAAATGCATGGGTTTTTGCTTAAGAAAGATGAATGGCAAAGCAAACACTATCAACACATAAAGCATTCTTTATAGTTGGTATATGAGGACCCACATACACATATCCTGTGCAACTGGTTTATTCTAACCTTGACGACAGACTGATGAGATCAGCTGGGAGATGTTCCCCATTGGTCACTTTCACTACTTCCCCTACTGCCACCTACACATCCCAGTTTGAAAATGATTAGAACAGAAATATAAGTAATAGGGGAAAAAAAAAAACAAAACAAAAAAGAAAACAAATGGACAAAGACAAAAAGACAGAGTTTGAAATTATTATACAAACAATATATGTTAATTAAAATGTCTGATGACATTTTTTTCAAAATCTATTTTCATCAGGTCAGAAATAAAAGAATTAAAATATTTCCATCTCTATTCAAGTGGATCATTTTACTTTAGGGCACCAATTTTAGGCTGCAGAGAACACTGGCACTAAACTGAAAGCATAGAATCTCAACTGACAAAAGATTCTAACCACTCCATTAACTCTTTAAAAGCAAAACTAAACCAGACCACAACAAAAGATTATCCAGCAACATATCTGAGAAGCTGAGTGAAAAGAACATGCTAAAAATGACTTTGTGTTTTCTGTTTTTGTTTTATAATCTTCAATTTCCAAATAACTTGCAAGAACAAAACAGATTTTAAGTCTCATAGGGCTGTTATTTCCACTGTAAGAGACAGCATGATATTAATTATTTTAGGAAACTGTAATTCTCCAGAAACAACCAGTGCTTGTAAAAAAAAGAAAAAAAAAGAAATAACATTTGTTTGAAATAAAATCAGGACTGTAGACTTGCATCACTTTTGAAGCCATCAATTGTAATTGGCCATCAGTAAACAGCTGGAAAGCAAAAGTATTAAAAGAGTCTTCCTGGGAAATTGTCACCATGTGAAGACAAGAATAGGAGGAGACTACATTCTGGTGTGCAAGCAGAATTAGAGGTAATGTAGTGGCATAAGGCTCTCTACAGGAGGGCTGCAACAGGCCCCTAGTGACTCAAGAAAGTTGTTTTAGCTGTAAAAAATACCAGAACTGGATCCAGAATACCAATCAGGATTCACCTCAGGATTCACTTTTGCATGTTTGATCCTAGAAGAAAACCCAGTAGGAAAATTCAAGGTGAATAACAGTCATAGAACAGATAGCGTATTCTGACAGGGGGGCAAAGTGATGCGAAGCTGAGGTAAGTTCTGACAAGTCCAGTGGCAGCTAACTATTATTTCAACATATTAACACATGATGTAAGATTGCTGTTGAGGAACAAGGCTTGGAAAGAAGCATTTGCGGTCAGATGGCAGTCTTCTATGAGTAAAACAACAGCTGTAGAACACTGCAATATGAATGTCCTCCAGATTAAAAAGGGCAAAACAGTGAAGAAATCTAGAAAAAGAGACAAATTCAGGAGCTTAGTCAGGAGGACTACAAATAAGGTGCTCTGAGATGATGTAATGTATTTTGCAAGACACTGGAGTTTGCATGAAAGAAGCTATTAGCAGGCCAAAACGTTGTTGCTGCATGGTATGCTGTATGTAAAGATCTTGGTGGTGTGGCACCAACAAAACTTACAAATGCTTCCCAAAGTGCAGAAGTAATATGTTATTAATTCAGAAGATACTGAATAGAAAAGCATCTGAAGTTACAATAAACATTCAGATTGAACAAAGGCAGAATTTACAAAAGAGAACTTACAGAATTATCCGGCAACTCTTTGACACTTGGTAATTTATCAGAAATGTTTTCAAAGCTACTATACTTAATTTTGAGATATAATGGAAAATGGCATAAACACATGCTAGTATGCACCACAATCTGTCACTGAAATGCATAGCATCCTAACTCTATTAATTTTATGCACGAGTACATTTGTTCACTTCAGTGGACTTGTAGAGGGCTTATGCCTAACCTGTAATCATACGTGTTACAGTAATACTTTCACTTGCACCAGAAAAAAGATAGCTGTAATTGCATAATAATCATACAGCAATTAATCAAAATGCAATTGAACATGTTTAAATAATCTTAATTTAAAGCTCACAAACAAAAAAACAGCAAAACAAATTCTTAGAATATATCCTCTATTGACCTGATCAAATAGATGTTGAAAAATGTTCATCTTCCACATAGTAAGATGTGGATTTCTTAAATAAGACTGTCCAAGGAAATGATGATAAACAATCTCTGACTGTCCATACAAAAACAATTACAGCATTAAATGCTATGAAGTCTTGCCTTCAGGGCTGAAATTATTAAAAATACATTTTATAGAATTAAGTGAATGCTCAGCTCAAAGACAATGCCAGTTTGACAGGCTACATACTATGTTCACGGTTTTCCCCCCAATTTAGCTATCAAATATCAATTAAACCACATTTCTGTTGTCTGCAATATACCAATTTTAATTTATTTATAGGGTGCAATTTGTTATGTACATACCCAAAAATCAACCAGGTAAAATACAGCAGTTGATGTCCAGAGGCAGAGAATCAGCCTCTTCTAAATTAGTATGTGATTTTTTCACAGTTTATTTCCTCAGGGGTAAAATGAAATGCCAGTATTGTTTGAGAACAGTTATTGACAAAATTTAATGAAACACTGTCTGAAATGACAAAATCCCAAATGAACAAAAGATTACATTTAAGAGCGGTGGCATTTTTGTTTATTCCTTATTTCCTTGGAGCAATCACAAATAAATAAATAAATAAATAAATGCAGGGTAGAGAAACCAGCCTCTACACTATAAGCATCAGTGGGCATCTCTACCTTGATGAGAGCAGTACAGTGTCAGCAGGTATATACTCTTTGCCTTTTATTATAACTATATCTCCAACATCTACCTGAAAGAAAACTGGGAATCGGTTAATGGTCTCAAACAAAATATGTTATCCCTTTGTTTTAAGCACAGTAAATATTTACCTTGCTGAATTTCCTAGAAACACTGGTAGGAACTCAAAACACTTTAGGCATTAGGTACTTAAAGCCCTCGAATTCTTCGGAGATCTCTTTAATAGGCCTAATCCTGACGTTGGATATGCATTCTTTACTTTTGTTACTTATTGCAATAAATATTTTATTAGAACACTGGAGTTGAATTGAGGATAAATTAACCTCCCTGGGGTCATATTTCTGTTGCATCATGCTAAAGCCCTTTACCTGGTTTCTGCAAAGATTTCATCAGAATTATTCTGAATCTTGCCTCCAAATTATTGATGATGAATTTTTACTCAAGTTTAGAGGTGTGGAAACCAACACACGTAAGAGATAAGATGGACAGCACAACATTAACTCCTTGAAAGTTACCTCTAGTAGTCCCCTCCTCTAATTAAGGTTCTTATGCTTTAAGCCCAAGTAATTCTGCAGACATAACAAGTAATTAGTTTCCAGAAGGAAGCTTCTTCCTTGGAACTCCAAATAATACTAAGGAACTGCACAGCTTTGCCATATGTGAAATTTCCCTAGTTAACCATATGAATTAGGTGATTTTTAACTGAACTTAAGGGCTGTCATCTAATAGTAGTTTTGGCTGACTCACACCATCAAAACTGACTTGACTGAAAAGTACATTTTAAGAGACAAATGCAACAAGCTTTTAAAATAAAATATAGTAGATGATACATTTCCCAACATACTGGTTAATTCTTATCAATGATACAGATTTGCAGAAATAAAGCAAGTATTAGATGCTCTACAAGTCACCAAGAAAACATAAATACACACCTTTTCCCAGTGGACAATCTCCCATGCACCATTTCGTAGCACTGAAAAAAAGAAAAAAAGAAGAATTCTCCATTTGCACACTCTAACTGCAGTATACAAGTTTGTGTTAGTTTCCTTACGAAAAGCCATTCAGATGGAGCACATTTACAGAACATTTTAAAGCATACCTTGTTTCTTGTTTTCAGTCAAGCATCTAAATTATACAATGCATAGAAACTTACTATAAAATGAGTAAGAAAATTCTACAGGGTTTGCTCAATCACATACAGATTGCACAATAATGTGTGGTCTTCTAAATAAGTTAGTAATTGGAATGAGAAATTTCAAAGTAAAAAACACGATGGGGAAAATATCAATTCAGTAACATATTTTTTCTCATTTTAAATAATGACATTCTTACAAAAAAAGTCACTAGCAGGCTTATCAGGATCCAGCTGTCCAGACTATTGGCATGTCACAAAACAAATTGACATTGCAAGCACATTCTTCTACTCTAGTTTTAGTACTTTAAAGTTGAGTAATATTTGTTACTGTGATACAAAAACAAACAAACAAACGAAAGAGCTAATTTGCCATTTAATCAACAAACTTCTGTTTTCAGGGAATAATAAAGGTGTCTTTTTTTTTTTTTAATTGGCATTAATTACAAAGCTACTGAAGACTGACTTGCAAGAAGTAAATTAAAATAAAGTTTATAAACAGGTATTAATACTAAGACAGCTACAGGAGACTGCTCTCTTTCAATGTGCCTCCCAGCTTTCAAACTGCCAGGATGCTTATTTAAGTACCTGATTAAAAAATCCAATTCTTATGAAATTACGTCTTAAGAAAATTTATCAAAATCTAGGAATGCATATTGTTTATATGTCTAAGTCTTCTTTGTGGTTCTGTTCAGATTAACCCCTCCTGAATACCTCACTTTCTGTAAGCCATTAGCTAACATGCTTAATAACTCCTTATTAAGAGATTAGCCCTTTTACTCCTCCCCCTAGATTTATTAATCCTGATACATTCAGGCCAATGGTAAATGGAGCAGTCTCCATTACAGATATTAAGCATGCTGTTTTCATGACTGTCTCACCATTGGCTGGTCATTACACCAAATCTTATCCAACAAACCATTTCCCTTCAACAGAAAAACTACAGATCCACAGTGAGGACCGACTGTAATAATGTAGTAAGGAATTTAACACAGTTCAGCTACCTAAATATATCCCCTTGTGTCAGCAGCATTGTCTGTGGGGCCATGGCATAAAACGGATGAGAGAACTGATAAGGGATGGAAAAAAAAAGAAGCACACACACCTTGCAGCAATCTAAATGACTAAGTTTCAGTAGTAGCATAACTAACTGTGAAGTTCTGCTCACTTGAAATGTAAATAAGCTGCCAGACATAGCTAAGAGCTTCTTAAAAACTAGCTACAGAAACACTTTGACTGCTGAAATAGATCCCAAGGCTGTTTCGCATGCAGTCAAGCTGAACTAACAGAGTACTGCTATTGCAAAGGGAAGGTCCTGTTCTGCATTCACCTCATGCAAAGTGCATAGCTTTATGTGCCCCTAATGTATGCTGCCTTCCCAGACCCCTTGATTAGACATTTTAAGCTACCAAGTGGAAGGAAATCATCAGCTTTTCTCGTTAGGTTTGTTTTCAGCTCTAGCTAGTTAAAATCAGCTCACAAATGGATGAAACAGAATCATAACACAGTGAGAGACCTGAATCTCAAGAGTACTCTACTCAACCTTGCTCCAATAAGGTTTTAAGCACAATTAACATGCACTGACATTCATTTAAATACTTTTTCTTACAAAGGAGGGTAAAAATGGTACTGCTATGAGTTTTTCACGTGATAGATTACTTGCCCCGTAAAGCCTTCTGCAGCCTAAATTTCACATTCATACCTCCCATTTTTCAAATGTCTCTAACAAACAGCTTTCAAAAGCATGCTCCATCTGCCCTACAGAAGACCACTTTAACACAGCGCAGAAATACATGCTTCACCACACCTGCGTGCACGACTGTGTCCCAGTATTTATGCATACATTTTGGGGAAATAAAGTCATCCCTAATATTGCATAATAAATCAAAATCATCTGTAAAAGGCTTTTTTTTTTTCTTAAATAGTAATTACAATTTAGAAAGTTAATTTCTTAAGGCTGAGATAAACATAGTCTTTTATGAGCAGATAGATGAAGGAAAATCCATATATGCACAGGTAATATGTCGACAATTTTCTTTGTTTGAAGGACAACTGAAGGTGGAGCTGGATATATAGCATATTATACACATAATCACTTTTCAAGTTTACAGAATTGTCAAATAAATGAAAACAAAACTGCAGATTAAATTAACTTCTTCATTATTCTTCTGACAATACACCACATCTGACAATACACTTACATATTGTTTTAACAGTACACTAAGATCAGTATTAGGCTTACATGAGCTCTGCATTAGCTTACCTTGTTCCTAAGCACTAGTAATATTTTGTGCATCCTTACTACATTTTCAAATTCTAAGATGCTCTTTTGTATACATGGAATATTGAGAAATCTTAGGAACAGTCACCAAGAGCCTAACGATAGCTAACCAAGCAAAAGAGGTGAGAAAGGCAATAAAAATTAGTCTATTCATTTAAATCTCTCTACACTTGGGAGAAAAATTTGAAAAGCACTTGAAGATTCATTATTTGTTGGTTTGTAATCTCAAAAATCTCTTAATTGTTGATTGTAATCTTGAAAGCTATGAATGTCTGTAGATATCCAGATTTTTTTTCATCATCAAGCTTTCCTTTGTTTCTGTCTCTCTCACTTTTTCTTTAAAGTATAGGCAAAAGTTATACTCCCAGCACTGTCAGCCAATCGATTTGTGCCCCTGTCCAGTTTCTTGACACGTCCTGTTGAGCTATAAACTCTGTGGTTTCATACATTTTCCATACATTTTCACAGAATCACAGAATAGTTTGCATTGGAAGGGACTTTAAAGAACATCCAGCTCCAATGCCCCTGCCATGGGCAGGTAACCTCCCCACTAGATCAGACTGCCCCAAGTTCCAACAAACTTGGCCCTGATTACTTCCAGAGTTGGGGCATCCATAACTTCTCATCTTATTCCAGCGTCTTAACATCCTCATATTGAAAGACTTCTTACTTTTGTCTAATCTAAATCTATCCTCTTTCACTTCAAAATCATGACTCCTGGTCTTATCATTACATGCCATTTTAAAAAGTCTCTCTACATCTTTCCTATAAGATCCCATTGATGTACTGAAAAGTCTCCCTGGAGTCTTCTCCAGGCTGAAAAACCCCAGCTTCCTCAGTCTGTCTTTACAGGAGAGGTGCTGCACCCTCTGATACTCTCACAGCCCTCCAGTGGACCTGATTTAACAGGCCCATTTTTCATGCTGGGGGTCCCAGAGCTGGGTGTAAGGCTAATCTGGCTGCAAGTTGTTATTTCAACAGTTCAACTTCGAAGTTTAAAAAAAAAAAACAACTGTACAAGCAATTTCCAACTCATTTCCCTGTGTATTCAGCAGTTAGGATTATCAACATTTGCAAAAAACTTCAAAACAACCAACACACAACCACAATCAATAAGCTTTAAAAAGTTTCCTACCTTGAGTTTGTTTCTTGTTCACCGCATTATCAGCTTTATGCCTTTTCTGAATCAAAAAAGCATACTGATTAAAGACTTCTGTTGACACGATAAAACTTTTACACATAAGGTGTAACACTCATTTTTTACAGCTTGCACTCGACCATTAAATGAACAGACTTAAAAACATTTTTAACAGAACTGTGGATTACTTGCATAGTCTTGATCATCAGTAAAGTCACTCCCAGCTCTAGGCTAATACTATTCTATTAAAATGTCTCTCATCTGAGCAATCAGTATTTGAACAAATTTCTTGTACAAAGATATGAGGTATTTACACTCCACAACTTTGTCCTTCCCTGCAACTCGAAAAGTGACAGTTTAATTTCAATTGCTTTCTGAGCTATGCTGGGTGAAAAATTATTAGAAACAGACAATAATCTTGCATTGCATGTCACAAATTTTGATAGTACTTCTGAAGCATATATGTAAAACCTATGCTGTTTGTGAATAATGCCTCCTGCTAACATCATCTACTTCTTGTGATTACACTCCAGAAAGGAAGCTTTTGGTTATTCAGTTGAAAGTATTATTTTAATAAACTGAAAAGCCAAGTAAACCTGCTCTAATATCAGGTAAAGATAACTATTTCACTGAGTAAAGAAATTAAAATATAACTAAAGCTAAAGAAAAATGGAAAAAATGCTGAATATTTTACTATGGATCTTTCCAAGGAAAAAAGTGCTATTGTCACTGTCAGTCAGACATTCCTGCAACAATATAGGAAGTACCTACATGCTGAGGCAATATAAAATTAATAGAAGGAAAAAGAAGTTTTGACTTGCCTTTGAGCAATTCTGTAGCAATTAGGAACAATACCTTTTATTTTAAAAACTGATATGTGTAAAAACAAACAACCCTGGACCCATACCCTGGCTTTTGCTTCATGCCAAACTAAACACATCAAATTGTAAAGAGCAAATGACATAAAGAAACAAATGACATAAAAGAGGAGGGAGATAATTTTAAAAAGGACACTCTGTACAGTAGCAGCAGCCTCAGTTTTATATTTGCCTAGACACTGACAGATGGTGCAAGTCTGTAAGCATTAACTGCAGAACAGTTAAAAATATCTGAAAGAGCGTGAATTGATTTTATGGCTTTTTAAAAGTGGTTTTGTTTATATAAAAGGAAAGCAACAAAGACGCGTAAGGAGAAGCTGCTTAGTGGGCAGCAAATAGTATAAATGCAAAACACAAATCCAGCCACTTTCTGTTTCGGGGAAGGGAGGTAGTGAAAAAAAACCCAAAAACCTTTGCTGTTATCTCCAGTTTTATAGAAAACGTTATTGTCTAGTACCTCATCTAGAGACAAAATTTAAACCCAGCTCAAATGTGTAAGTAGTGAGAATAAAGGATTAATGCGGAAGAAAATACATTTTTTCCTGCCCAAATAATTATTTCAAGCTTGTTTTATTCTAAAATAAGTTCAACTTTCTATGAATTCAGTAGCTTCCAACATTTCATTAGCTGAATTTTTGACAAAACTGCAATAATCTGAATGCTCTGAGCCTGAGTGGTTTCTGTGGAGTCTGTAGAACTTAGTAGTTCTACTCTAAAGCTCATACTTTACCTAATTATGCTTGTACTGTATTAATGAGAATTTCTTGACTATAATCAATCTATATAATAAACAGTCACTGATTTCCCATGTTATTGTCACTCTTGCACATATTAAACACACAAATTGTAACACCACATTCTACAAGATTCCATCTTCTGACAAAAGCAGCTTTATAAGATTTCAAGAGCATTCAGAAGCCAAGAATGGCTCAACAGAAAATTACTCAGAAAGGTTCTTTGCAATATAATCTACAAGATATTTGATCATTATTTACAAAATACGATTATTAAATACTTACAATATCCTCTATTATCTCCTTCACTGCTGCTACGGCTAAAATAAATAAGAGAGGGACCAATGTTGTGTAACGGCCTGTTGGTGATACATCTGGAATTTGCTATTAAAAAGAGAGAAAAAAAACTGAGCTTGAATTCCTGATTAAAAACATTTTTAACACAGTAAGCAGAACTTTCAAATTTTCTTGAAAACATAGAGGTGACAACTAAGTTCGTTACTCAGACAAGGTACTGATTATTTCCAAGTGAGGGGTACTGTCTTAGAATCAAACAAAGCTGATACAACAAAACATTTTAAATTGAACAGTATTCAGTAGTTACTTTCAGAGGTTTTAGTGTCTCCAGAAGGTTCACCTTCATCTTTTGTGTTTCAAACTAAATTTAAATACGTATTCGTAAAATATGATTAACTTTTTTAGTTTAGTCTAACAGAGTGGACACAGCTCCAAGCTATTTTAAATTTGAAGAAGCTATTTGGTATTTTACTACTAAACTAACGAACAAATATTGAAAAGCTACACAACTCTAAGAAATCTGTTTCTGCTAAGCAAATAAGGGTACAGATGATGCAAGTGAATATGTTTGTAAAATAAATGCTGAGAGGATGCAGCTACTTATGTGATACATATTCATAACTATCTGTAATTATCTTTATATTGACTAGAGTTGTTAGTGGCAGCAATGATTTACCACAAGAGTATTCCTGCCTTAACACATTTAGAACAGGCAATGTCACCCATATGACTACAATGAGATTTTGCAAAAAAAGTGGAGTAGTAAGTAGTGCCTCAGTGTAGTTAGAATACATCCTCAATGTAAACCTCATAAGAGGTTTACAAAAACCGTCAATGTTATTTATTGGACATTTATTTTTTCTTTCACTACATGGTGTATCTAAAAACACAATATTATTATATATATACTGTGTTTCTTGGAATAAGATGAATATACATCTATTTTCAACGTTACTCTAGATCACATTTTAAAGCAACTGTGGAAATCCGGCAGAAAATTAATGGACAACTTTCTGTCAGCTACAGGGCAACAGTACCCACCACTTCTCCAGTTATTTTTTCCCTTTCATTTCTAGTCACACGTGACTACACCCCCCCATACTAATGGCACATTATTTTTCAGGCAAAATATGAAATCAAAGGGGCACCACATTGTACCCTGCTTCCATTGCCCTGTACCTGTTACTCCTGCTAGCTTACTGATGCTCTTACCTGAAGTAATGCAATAAAAAGAAAAAAAGCATTGGCAGCTCTTCTGAACTGGGAATAAAGGAACCTTGGCAGGAATGTGATAATGTTGTACTTTGCAGTGCTAAGACAAAAAGAAAAAAAATACATACTATTATTACACTATGAAAAAAATTCAAATATATTCCTTCTCTCTCAGTTACACAAGCTTTCAAATATAACAGAACCTTCTGTGATTTCTGTGATAGCAAACAGATTAGTTTTTGCTTAAAAGAGAAGCCTGAAGATTTCTACAAACCAGCCACCCAAGGAAAGTGCCCATCGTCCACAGAAGCCATTGTGTGCTTCAGTTTTGAGGCAAAAGTTTCCTTGTCACCTCTGCTGTGACTTGGTTACAGGATACCAGAGAAAAAAAAAAAAAAGAGGAGCAGGAAGCAGGGAAGTGATTGCCCTGAGGAATTAGGACAGAACCTAGACTTACAGATCTTATATTCCAGAACAACACCCTATCCAGCAAGCTATGGCACACTTGGTGATCAATTCTGCACCAGGACTCATGTGCAGAAAAATTCTTGGGGAAAGCATTATCAGTTGAGCTAACATAATGAGAAGGGTGCTACATCAAAACTGAAGAGTTGCAGAGCATCTGTTTCATGCAGGAATTTTTGTGATTCAGTGCATACTGAAGACTAATAAAATCTTACTTAACAATATTTAAATGGCGTGTTTAAGAAGTCAATAAAACTAAAATATTCAATAATGTACATTTTTCCTACAGTTTCAATAATATACAATTTTCCAATGTGGTCTTTCAATATCTAAACTAAAGGTGTACTGCAGGAAAGAAGGCAACAGACTCTTTAGCAGAGTCTGTGGTGAGAGGACAAGGGGAAATGTTTTCAAGCTTAAGAAGGGTAGATTTAGGCTGGATACAAGGAAAACACCTTTTACATTGAGGGTGGTGAGGCACTGGAACAGATTGATCAAAGATGTAGTTGATTCCCCATCCCTGGATACTTCCAAGGCAAGGCCAAATTACTCCCCTGGCAACCTGATCTAGCTGTGGTGTTTCTGATCATTGCAGGGGAGTTGCAGTAGATGATCTTTAAAGGTCCCTTCCAACTCAAAGCATTCTATGATTCTATATTCATTAAAGGAAAAACAATATCCTTCATCAAGTGGAAAGGTTACCTTTAAAAGAAAACAAAACAAACAACTCCTGATCAGTATTAAGTGAAATTCTGAGGGTTGGAATAACAAAATATATTTAATCCTACTGTAATTATCTTAGTGAAGCTTCCACTACATCTACCTCTGTCCAGCTATCCAGTGATATGCTCAAAAGCAAAAGATAAACCGAACTAACCAGAAGAATAAATCCATACTCTAGAGATACGTAAAAGCTGCAGAAGTTCCATCAAGAACCTTCCTACTCAGAACTTAAAAATTCCAAAGGTCAGCTTTGTATATGAAACTGTCTTACTAATCTAGTCATTTCTCTTCATTCCTCCCTTTGGAGTCACACTAGTGATCTAAAGGAAATAGAATAAACAGAATATTTTCTCTGATTTTGCTCAACAGTATGCATCCTTACGAAGCTCATATGTATTAACAGAAATATAATTTGATACCTGACATGATTATTACAGAACTTGGTTAACTGGGGCTGATTAATGAATATAGTTCTCAATTCTTCTTGATCAGCCAGAGAAGTTTTCTCTGAAACATCATCTGTCTTCTCATAGCCTGTCAAAAAAAAAAGAAAAAAAACATTTTAATGTAAGTAAATGTACACATACAAACACATGCAAGATTTAGAGCACTGCGTGACAAAAAGATCCACATCTATTCTGACTGTGAACTCAATTTACTTGTATTTCTTACAATAACAGGTAATGTTCATTTTAAAGCACATTGGTGATTAGATATGAAAACAACATAGTCAAGAAGCCTCGTAAAGCTACAACTGAATTATTGAGTGCACTCAAATAGCTTATACTGCTTCATGGAAAAGTGAAATGAACTATGGTCTGTGACTGACAACCTCTTTCACTTCTCCTGAAGTGCCCCAAGTACTGGGGCAAACAAATGTTTTAAAGGGAAATAAACTAAAACAAATAAATGAGCACTAACATGAAAAGAACAAGAAGTTCAGTACTATACTATAATATCAGTGACGAAAAAGTAGTTACCTGTTAATGATGAGTATCATTAACTCAGATGATCTCCACATTGCATACAGATTATTCAACAGATCAGTTTCCAGTTTTGCATGTAAAATGTTAACACTGCTTGTTGCAGTGAGCATTCATACAACTCATTCAATTCTTCTTGATACATTTTCCTGCTTTCCGCCCAATAAACATATAGCACCATTTCCCCTATGTGCCTCTCTTAAACTGAACTGTTTCACAACTATGGTAGTGCAACAATTAGAATTCCTGTAAGGGTACAGAAGTAAACTTCCTACCAGAAGCTTGGAAAAGTTTTACTATTAATCTCAATGGCAGTAAAACACTTCACTAAGAGTATGTCTGAAAAATGAAACTAAATACAAAAAGTAGATGTCTATTACAGCTATCTTAAATCAAAGTGACTTACCTGTTCTACTTATTTGCACAAATCATCTGTTTTGAGAAATACTCAGAGAAAATTCATCGTCACAGCCTATACAAAGGCAAAAAACCAACATGGCTTATCCTACAGTTAAAGGAATTATATTCCTCAGGAACCACCTCAGACCAGCACAATGTCTCATAGATAATGGGGAGGCATATTGGTGTGATCAGCCGGCTCCCTCAGCGCCCATGGATACATCTGAACATCCGAGCAGAGTCTGGGCACTGCTGCATTTCCTGTTAAGTGTTCCCGAAGCTGATTCTCCTCCACCCAGGTAAATCCTTGCTCCAGACTTTCCCACCAGTATCAGGGACCTGAAGTTCCTGATATTATTACACAGGAAATCCCCGCTACTGTGTTCACTCATTGGAATTAACTTCCTTCCTTTCAGCTCTCCAGTGAAAGGCACACATCCAACAATTGCAGTCAAGCTTCAGTAAACATTTTGAGAACACCCTTCTGGCCAAGCCTAACAGATGTGGCCCACACAAGAGGCCTGTACACCACTCTTTGCCTGGAGGAACCTCACAATTGCATACATCAGATTAAGCAAGCCATTTCCTTCTCCCATCATTAACGACCCTTAGAAAGGCAACCCCTACCCCTGTCACACAACCAACCAGCTGTGCAGGACTCCAGCACAGCTCCATAAACACGTACAGCTGTAACACAACTTGACACAGGCACAACTCTAAGAACATGAACTTTTCAGTCATCACATTGAGACACTTATGAATTATAAGTGGGTTATACTCCCATCTCGGTCCAGCACACTGCAAGCACACCTTCGTCCCAGGAACACAACACTTCCCAGTTGCTCCACGAAGGAATGTATGTGGAAAAACAGCTACTGAGAGAGAACACTGGAGAAAAAGTTGGAAACTACTCTCTTAGAAGTAGCACTCCAGCTTGACTAAGCCCAGGAAACAAGGAAAGAGTTCACACATTTGCAGAACGCACTACTCTATTTTTTACAGTGCTAGTTTTAAAGTTTTTGCAAGTGTAAACCTGCAGTCCTGACAGTGATAGAGGTAATACAAATGTTAGCAGGCATTAAATGTAATATCTGTTTGTTTAAAACACCAAGGAACTACAGACATTTAAACACCAGTATTAAGGCATTTATTTGTTCTTCAAATAAAAAGCCAGAAAAAGATGCTTAGGAGCATCATAAACATTCACTACCTTCCTTTCTATTACTTTGAATTCACATTTCTCAATCTGAACTTAAAAAGGAACCTCTGGAAGTAGGTGCTGAGCCTCATAGGTAGCCCTCTGCAGCCTGCAGCTTCAGTAAAAGCACATTAGACTGCACTGAAAGCTTAATGGTTACTCATCTCCTTCGTGCCTTTGCCTGATCTCTGAAATACACTCACCAGAATACAGATTCTGCACTGCCACACAAAACTAAGTATCAAGAAAGTATAGTTTGTCTTCCTCATTTGTGTCTATAAATGTGTGTGTGTATATATATATATATAAATATCTAAGAAATGTATATGTATATATATAAATATCTAAGAGTTCTTAACTACATTACTGAAGTTATTATGCTGACTAAAACGGTAACTATACTTAATTTAAATGTTTCCCAAGCAATGAGAAACACAATTCCCTTTGAAATGGTCTACTTTCATATATGATTATCAGAAAGAATGTAAAGAGAAAATAAAAGTGTTGAAATTCTAATTCAGCATTTGATAAAAGTCCGCTTCATCCTACTCTTCCACACTGCCATCTCTTTACAACGCATCACCTCTTGGAATGCTATCATCACCTCTTGCTCTCACTGTCTGCCCAAGAACTTGAATGAAGTGTTAGCAGATGCAGGTTCCAGCCCCTATGCAGCTGCTGTTTGCCTGACTTAGCAAGCGATGCCTTGTAGCAGATCAAAAATGCAGCAAGCTTTTCTTGCCAGGAAGCTGCTCCTTTTCAGAGCTGCCTGAAGTCAAAGACTTGCTGCACATCTGTACAGCAAACAACACCACAGGCATCATTTCTGTGCTCTTTGCACACCAAATGTCTTCAGGGACATTCAGTCTGCATGCTATGCAGGCCAAGCCTAGGATTCCACGTTCCCCCTCCCCCCGCCACCCCCCAGGTCTATACATTATGCTTTGTAGGTGAAATTTTTCACTAATTTCTCAAGATATTGAATCTCTGTGACTATAACTTTGATAGTAAATGGGCATTTCTCTACATGATGCAGCCTTTTTAACTGCAACCACGTATCTGTTGCATTCCCACAGTTAGTTTGCATTCTGCATCTTCAGAAAATGATGAGCATTTCCAATTTCTTCCACATCTCATCCACACTCATGTAGTACAAACATATTAAGTCATAAAAAGCTCTACTTAATCATGGCCATTCTTTCAAATATGAACTGCATATCTTCAGTATGTTTTATTTATATTAGGTAAATACAGAACCTGGCAACAAGTTGTTGGCATTCAATTGGCCCCAGATAATGTCAAGCACTAAAATACAAAGTAGGACATCGATCAAACTACGCTCACAAACCTGAGTCTAACTGCAATAAATCACATCAGACTTTTAAGAGCTACACTTCTATGAAATTTTAAAACAAAATTTATGGGTTAGAGCTCAGCTGCTGCCTAAGCCTCAATGCAGCAGTTTCATAAAAGCTGACTGCTTTGTCAAAAGGAAGCCACTAAGTGCTTTATTTCTTCCTCAAAGAGAGCAAGAACCCACTGGCACCAAACCAGTTCGCATGATGAACTCAGCCTACTAATCAAATACGAAGATGCCCATCTCAAAATGTTGTCTGAAAGTAACCACAGGAACAAAGGGAAGCACATCCACCAGATCAATTCTTGGTGAAAGCAGCTACAATTTTAGCAAAAGTGGTTTTCAAAGATGCAGTTAACAAACCAGCAAAAATTAAAGATGGCTGCTCTTCTGTAATTCATTAAAAGGTTCCGAGACAGTATAACAACACTGATCCAAATATTCAGAAAGTTGATAGTGAAAAAGGTATAGAAAAAGCCAGACAGGAATCCAGACAGGAAAGATAAAGATTACAAAACACACAGTCAGTATCAAAGCATCAAAGTATCAAAGCTGTGACAAATATCTGATAATGAAAAAAATACTGTGAAGAATATGAGTAAGAACCTAAGATGAAGCAATTGCTCCAATCTCCTTTCAAAAACATACACAATTATTGCTGCATTAGAGATGTCAAAACTGATACCAACTGACTTGTTCATTGTTTGTTCATCGTGCTAAGGGTTCAGAGAAGTACTGTCCCGGGGTTAAAATTAAAGGCACCATCACTCTACATAGGCTCTTATCTAAGGACACAACAAATACTACGGTAATAATACAGTAATAATTTTGAAGAATTACAGTGATCAAAAACAAAGCAGCAATTATCACACTTCAAACAGGAAACACAACGCTGCTTTATGTAAAACCTGGCACTGAGAAAGAGCAAACAGCACCACAAGGTTCCTCATCCTCTTTGTCAATAGTTACCTTGTAACACTACTGTTATTTAACTACAGAATTATCAGACAGATTCTATGACACAATATGACAAAAATGTGCTTCAATATCAAAGGAAAGTAATTATTACTTCAATAAAAAAAGTTTGTTTGCAAAACTACTGCATAAACTAAAATTATTATCTTGTTCTGCACACCAAAGTTTTTTTGCTAGCAAAACGCAGAATGTGGAAGCTATTGATGAATAAACACAAAACTATAAATTTCATTCAGAGTTGCTTAAATAACCGATTTTGATTGAGGATTTTCTTTCAAGGAACTGAAGTAAAATACACATGACAGTGGGAAAAGGCAAGAAAAAACTGCAGACAGTGGCTGGGAATTCTGAGAATACGGAGCCATGGCTGTCCTTTGTCAGGGTATAGGCAACACTTTAAATAAGTTCATAGTAAAAAGTGTACTTATTAAGGAATAAATATTTTAAGTTTTTCCAGTAAAAGACAACAACTTCAACAACAACAAAACCCAAATAAATAACCATTGAAACAACAACAAGAAAGCCCAACAATCAACTTGAGCTTTCTCCAATAGGAGAACCCACTAAGGACCATGTTTTGTTTCCAACAAAACTTCAGAATAGGCAACTATGTTCTGTTACA